ACAGAGGTATTCGTTATTTACGACCTGGTCGGTGTCGCAGCGAGTCGGTGTGGATCTTGTGTCAGTGCTAAGTTGGGCTCGAAGTGTGAGCTCAAAAGCTCGGCAATCTCTAGACTGCCTAGTACACTCCCGTCATGGCCCGTGACAAGATTCACTCCCTTACTGACCGACTTTCTTCTTGACATGCAGCGGTACACGTTTTTGGGATCGCTTTGTAACCTCGCCGCCAAGTTTGTTTGGTAGGAAAATCTGCCGCTACGCCCTCTAATGTTACAGCGGTTGCGAATCCTTTTGTGGTCCAAGAAGTCAGACTCCCTGCGTGATGTACGCTACTTGAACCAAGCCTACTTCTTGCTCTGGATAAGCCTCTCTGCCCCACGCTTAAACCATGAGGTTCTCACCGACTGTCAGTATGTTACTTCCGGCACACTGTGACTGATGGCCCCAGTGATTATTTTCTTCACCTCCAACTGGTGTTCATCTGCTGTGGGATGAGTCCGGCCTACCGGCCATGATGCAGTCATGAGATGGTCTCTCATGGTCTCGTAGTTGGCCTTGCTGTAGCAAGGGGAGGTGTTGGGCATCTCCATTTGCGGGCCTCCGCAGCAGTCATGGAGAGGGTTATTACTGCGTGGTCACTGAGGCCAAAGAGAGGTTGGATGCATACATCCTCAATGAGTTCATCGTTCGTCAGAACGTAGTCAAGGCGCGAGGTTTTTCCGTTAGGTCTCCAGCGTTTGGTATCATCCCCTTTTTTTCTTTGAGAGGCCAGCAGTCTTAATCGCGTTCTTCAGCTTCCGGCTGAAGGAGCTGATGCGTCTCCCTTACGTCTAGAAGAGGATGGACGGGTGTTGAAGTCGCTGGCAATGATTACGGAATCGTAATTTGCAGAGGAAGTCGTTAAGATAGCCTTGATGACCATTTCCCTTTGAGTAGAAGGGATGGTGGAGGACAGATATATGACTGTGAGCAGGTATTCGGTACAGTGGAGGATGGAGCAGCCCCATAGAGATTGTGGGAGCTGGGTTAAGGAGGTATCGCTAACCACCCTCATCTTTAAAAGGGAGCTTATGTAGGGAACCACTACCTCTCCTGCTGTGAGCTTTCTGTCCCTGTGGAGGGTTTCAGTGACGGTAACACTCATCTTTTCGTCGGGGATGCCCGGCGAGAGCCAGGATTCGTTGATAAATACAATGTCAGAAGGCTGGCGTTCACTCTTAGCCCCCTAACGTTGCTGCACATACATGTCAGTGTGCCTAGTGAGAGGGGATGGCTGGTTGTGTATTTTCGCAAGGAGAGCGCTAGTTGGATCTAGCGTCGCCAGTCCCCATAAGACTGGTGTCGTTCTGTTTTTGCCCCTCATTTTCAACTTGGGTGGAGGGTATGGCAGTACGAGCTCCTTTACCTGATGTATCTGACTCACTGGTCAGTGCCTGTGTGACAACCACTGACTCCAGAGGTCTTGGTGGTTGCCGTCTCTCCACTTGCCTCGTGGGTCTAGGCTTACTTTACACATGCGTACTGAGCCACCCATGCGATCTTACGCATCATACCATGCGTGTAGAACATCTGTGAGGGGGGCATGTAAAATCGAATTGGATGGCAAGTGGCCTGGGAGTAGGTATGGACTTCATATGCGATGGCGTGGCAGTCTACTGACGCTGTCGGCCGGAATGCTGTCAAGACCAACATTGGTTGGGAGCCATTGCCGTTGTTAGACGTTGTGGGAGCAACGATCTTTGGCCAAGCGGTCACTTAGCAGTTCTGGAATCCAGTGTACAACAACAGTGTTGCTTCTGTTCGGATTTCCAACCGCTGACTTCCTCTCCTCCTCTTTTATTGACCATGGCCCTTCAGGCCTGGCACAAATTTTGCAGGTACTCACAACGTCCGGCCGTCACAAGAGAAGGCGGGGGGAGGGGTCGTCGGCCTCTTTGGTAGTGCTCAACGACAGACGTGAAGGTAGTGGCTTGTCCCAGGGTGCCAGGCTTCCGCGGGAAAGGTGGCGCAGTCTTACTGGGGGAGGAAGGAGTCCCAGTATCTGAAAGTAGTTGGTCTATATTCGGCTGTCAGACCGTTCCCTCTCGATCAACAATGAGTCCGTAGATGCATCGACGTTGAACGAGATTATCGAGTTGGCCCTCCTGTGGCTTGGGTTCGTTGCGGGTGGTACACTCGACTTTACAATGGGTTTGTTGTGTATTTCTACCGGATATTTCTCATTCATGGTGTGTGGGATGTGTAGGGTGGGTTTCGTGGAGAGTAGCGGTCGGTGTCTTTAGCTGTGGGCTTGACTTTCTCTGGAGTCAAGTAGGAGGTGCTAAGACTCGACCTAATGCGGTCCCCGCGCGTGTTGGCATGCCGGCAGCTGGAGCTCTAGTCCCATTTCCAAGTCCCTCTGAGTTATCTTTTAGTGTTAACCCTACCTTATTCGAGGATATTGGTAGCTTTTGAATGGCGGAGATCATGTCTTTCAGAGTACTAGCAGATTTCCTCACTCTGGATAAATGTACCAGAACCACTTGCACGCTTTTCTCTTCATCAGCTTATGGTATTGTAGGGGGACTTTGGTGTCTCAGTGGCAATGCGTCCATCGGTGACATAGGTTGCATGTAAATGCCTCTTCAAGTACCAAAACAAATTTAGTGCAAACACTGCAGCAATCGGGTCTCGTGATGTAGCCTTCTTTCCATGAAGAAAGTGCTACGGGTTGTGGCGAACCGCTTGTGGTTGCCCTGTTCTGAAGCCGTTTATGCCGTCTCCACTTTTCAGGCATGGTATGATCCTTGCCTAAGGTAGGACTAGTTTGCGACGGGCTAGTGCTACGCTGTATCGCCTGTCGGATGGCGACTGGAATTCTACAGACATAAGTTGGGCGCTTCTTTAGAAATTCGGCGTTCTGCCCTAACTCCGTTTGCCCGTGGGTGCAGACTAGGGTGTTGTTTCGAGCGCTTGTAACAGAAAGTTGGGATCTTGCGCGACCTTGGTGCCACCAGTGGTGAAAAGGAAGGTGTAATTGAAAACGATCTAAACCTTAACATTCTATGTATGCTGAAAAGTGATACTGATAAGCCTGATTGCTAGTCACATCCGGAAATTACTTAACAGGAGCAACACCGATCAATATGGTTTTTAAGGAGGGTGTTGAGGTGTCGCCTATTTGATGGCGAACTGGGATGACTGGGCCACCAGTTGAGACAACAGAAAATAAGTTCTATTCATTTTTCTTGACTTAGTTAACTGACAACATTTCAGGCGACATTTAACCACAAAACGTGCATAAGAAGACATAAGGAAACCTTCACTGTCCCGGTTTAAAGTGCACTGAGACAGCAAACAATTCAGCACTAAAGCGAGCAGAATGCGATCAAATCGAATGCCATCCGAATCCGGAGTATCCCAGATAGAGACCTTGTGGCCATTTCTGTTTTGCTTTTCATTAACAACACCTAACACAAAATCCCTCCCATCCTTCTACTTTCCGACACCAAGACTTGGAGAGTAGTATACGAGGAAGCCAACTGAGAGGTACTGCAGAATGGCCTGCATCTGATAGAACTCTGGTTTTGGGACAGCAGCTTGAGTTTCAACCTGAAAGGTACAGAGTAATGTGCATGAGGACCCATGTTGCAAGGACTACCTGCTGGATGTTGGGAGACGGCACAATCAGGAAAGTGCCCAAGGAAAAGCACCTGCGCCTGAACCTCTCAGAGGGTTTTAACCCTTATTCGTATCATAATGCGGCGACAGTAAGAGTGAATTTCGCGCACAAAACGCTCAGTGCCCTCACGCTAGAACTCTCCTAGCAGCTTTCAAAACATACGTTTTGCCGCATCTGGAAGTTCTACGTAAAAAAGCACCCCATCCCTCAGGAGGGACTCTGGTCTCCTTGAGAAAGAAAGGCTACATCTGTCGAAAACACTTATCAAACGGGGTGAGGACATTCACTGACAGAGTGAGGCGCCTGAATGTATTTACTTTAGACTATTGTGGAAAGAGAGTCTTGTCGTAGCCTATGATGGCATAGATTATATTCTTTATGAAATCTACCACGGAGTGAGTTTATATCCTGCTCAGTAGAACCACGTAGGAGAAGGTTGCATAACCATGACAGTTCCCATGGTCTGCTGGCAACATATACAGGATAATGTTGATTTCATTAGCCATTCACTGTCTCACTAACGCTATCCTCCGGTTTTTTGCTTACTATCTGTTTGCCTCAACTTAGCGGTTGTTTTTGTAATTTCCTCTCAGTGACTAGACGCATACTATCCACTTTTACTCTCCAAGGACGTTTTACGTCCCATCTTGCCCCTATTTAACTTCTATTCAGGCATCTGTACTGACGTAGGCCACAGAAGAGCCCTGGATCTTCTCAGCATCACTTAGCTTCCTAACCAAGTGTCCTAAATTACAAATAAAAATCAATGTTAATCACCCACACCATCAGAGTTTAAGGAGTAAAACTCCAGGGACTGTATACGTTGTCTAAAACCAACCACTTTATACTATCGCAGGCAGAGGGAAAATTTAATAATGCTGTGCAGGACTCCAGGAAATGGCTTTCAACCTGATCTATCCTCTATTTTCCTTTCCACTCAGTCGGAACACCTCGGAGGACATGACAGGAGAATAAAAAGCAAAGGACGAACGTGTTCTCTACAGAGTACTGCTTCTCGGGTCCAGTTATCAACTCCTGGAACCGATTCCCAGATAAAGTGCCCGCATCCTCAGTCGAATAGTTCATACGGGGACTGAGGAAGCACAGAGATCTACTGTAAAAAGAATAATAGGGACTGATAGCCTTTTATCCTGAGACAAAATCTGAATTCTGAACTGGCCCCTTACACCTATGCTATTGATGATGAGTATCTGACAGTAATCTAAACCCAGGGAAAAATAAACTCTAAGCTCATCATCTAATGCCTTACCTTCCTTACCTAGATTCTTATACATTTAAAAGTATTCCATGACATTTGAATATTAGTTGCTTAGTCTACGTCACATGTTATTCGCTTCACCCAAGGTTGACCTTCATGAACCAGTCGTTCAACTGAATTCTTTTGGATGGGTGGAGGGTCTGACGTCGTTGTCTTAAACAATGTTGTACGCGTATTAATTATTTAGAAATAATAGTCACTTCTTAGACGTATCATTTATCAAAACTGTCTGCTGAGGAGAAGTTCCGGTTAGTGTTGCATTTCACAAGATATATTAAATTTATTGTAGGATAGAACATTTGAAATATCATGAAGATCACAAAGGTCATGAAAGAATGCACCTCGAAATGTTTCTGGTTGCAGTCATTAGCCTATCGGTCTGCCAGATGGGACTTATGTTTTGGAAACAGCGACATTTTCGTTCTTACCAACTCATAACTCTCATAGCTATGTGGATAGTCCCGTTTGTATACAGTATATTCGCGGAATTTTCAAGATTTGTCGTTGTTTGGGTCTTGTTTTCTCTAACCACGGGGGCAATGGTGTACTTATCTTGTAAGAAACGCATAAGCACCACTACGCCTAGGTAACTCAAATGCGTATGTACATGTATTTTGTTTATATTGTAGTCAGATAGCATTCTTTTTCTAATTATTTGCGGTTTTAAGTGCTTTTATTTTTTTTATGGGGCCTGTTGGTGTATGAAATGCCAAAGTTCAAAAAGCAATCCACTTATGTATAAGTGGACTGAAGGTATGTCTTCGGTCTTGAATTTTCAGTGTTCAAATAGCTCTGTTGAGCTGTAGCTCATTGGTCTAAACACGACTATCATCATGCGAGTCATAGGTTTGAACCCCATTCCACCAATGGATGTAAGCGTAACCAGGTAGTAACACTAACCCTCATACATTTAGTGCGGTTCACTGCCTACTGCACGTATGCACATGTGATTCCTGAGGTCATTTTAGTTTTCAGTAAGGAAAGTGGTTGGCTTATTAGCCTGTTCAGATGCCTGCAGTTGACATATCTTTAAATATCTCTTCTGTTTCATGAAGGAGATTGCATTTGCTCTATCAAGATCGATAGTATAGTAATAATACTAGTACTAATTTAGTGGAGTATTCCCCAGATGTATGAATAAGTATAGGTGTGGGTGTTTCATCCCATTAAAAACTCTACATGGAATTGAGAATTACTGCTGCAAGACTAATCTACTGTGATACTCCTTCACGCTGTAGGAGGTGGAATGGTTGGGTGGGTTGACAACTTCACATACCTATCTAGCTGTAGACTAGCGAGTTTTGGTTTTCAAAGTCTCTGCATGGATTCAGTAGGCTGTGCCGAGTCTCACCGCCTTATTTAACTTGTGGCACCGACAAGATATCTATTTGTGTAATAAAGATCGAGCTTACCCTCAGTTCACTATGCGTCATGTTAAACCTGATTATTAAAGGAGGGATTTTTACCAAGGCCTCCAGTGTCTAATACCGTTCAGTCAGTCAGTATCAACATGGGATCTGGTAGTACTGAGTAGCAGTCACAATAGTACATCGAGACGATACCAAGATGATAGAGAAATTAGGAAGAAATCAATGGAATGCAGAAAGAAGCTATGGGAAGAATGGAAGATGATCTAAAGCAATAAAGAAATATGATATGGCAATTGAGATGAATATAATGCACAGATGTATCCATACCACTGAGGTTGATTCTTAGTCACTTCACGTTAGTCTCCAATCTCCGATTTCTGTTATGTGAATTCTGACTCGGATCGAAATCCACTCAGCAACCTTGTGCACGTGTATGCAGTGGGAAATAAGCCACACCTATTGTGTGCAGGCTAATCATATTAACTGGCTGCCCAAACCTCGGTAGGTGAAGCTATACTCGGACCCGTGACCCAGTAGTTGAAAGTCAACTTCCTAAACCAATAGACCACAGCAACAACCTGCATATATGCATTCCCCTACATAGCTAAGACGAGTATACTGTGCTGCACTCCGCTCTTTCATGTTGTACGTCCATGAGACATGGCCGTTAGGAGTAGAAGACACGAAAGGATTACAGGGTTTCGATCACGTATGTCTTCGTAGTATTTCTCACATTTGGTGGAAATACCATGTAAGCAATGCTGAGGTCAGCGAAGGGTACTAGGCAAGTCGATTAACAAGGTTGTGAGCTTCAGTCGACTGAGTTGGCTCGGACATATACTGCGCATGCCGAATCGCCACCTACCTTTATGTGCTATGATAGAGAAAGCTGGATTAAATCACAAGAGGATTCAAGGTGGTCAGATCAAGACCTGACACATGACGCGATGAAGTCTCTTACTGTTAGTCTGAGCTGTGTGGGAAGATGTAGACCACCTGGTTGGGGTCACCGAAACTATAGGAATGAGTGGTTTAGGATTCTTGGTGACATGGTTGAAAATTGGTCACAGTAGCGCAGATATATTCACTCCTTAGTATCTTCTAAAGCTTGAATAGTTGCACTAATATTTATCTTCAGATTGTTTATTCCTCCACAAGACTTTGTTTACTTTGATTTCACTTGTTCTATCCGCCTGTTCTTTGTGTACTACTATGAAATGTAGCAGCTTGAGTCGATACACTTGTGTGTAAGGTTATACATTGATTTTGTCAGTCAGTCAGTCATAACGTCACCTGCATTTTGTAGCATTACAGAGCAGACGTTTCTATGTGAAGGTGGTTAGTGAGTAACTATGGCTTAAAACTAAATTGAAGTGACTGGTACATATTCTATGTATATTGAGTCACTGTTTATCGCAACACGTTACGTTAGCCGAAGTTGTGGTCGAATAAAATAAAACACGATGGTCATAAAAAGAAACATCACCAGTGCATAAAATCTGTAGCCGTTTATTCAAGCTGTGTAAGGAATTACAGACTTTGTTTGGGTTCTGCATAACAGCAAAAACTTATTGTTGGAAACTAGCCAATACGGCTCAAGATCGATCACAGTGTTGCATGTGATGACATGCCCTGTCCCCATCTTAACTCTTAGTTCACATATTGTTGCGAGTTTTAACCCCTTTTCTTGTTGTAAGGCGTTGAGTGGTCTTCAACCATCATTTTCACTTTTTTGTGCTTATTTTTACCTTACGTACCTTAATATACGGATGCAACTTATGGCAAATTAGACCATCACTCATTAATACCAGGTCGTATGCCCATAATAAGTACTTGTCTTTACACAACTGAGACTATTTTACTTAAGATTAGAAGTAAACTGGTTCACAGCCTATTTGTAAAAGTTCTCTGTCTAGATGGGAAACCGTTATTTCCAAGTTGTCCCAAAAATAATGGCATTGGTTTCTGATGTGAAATAAGTCTGACTTCAATTTCTATAATCTGTCAGGTTAATTTCAGATGAATATGAGTAAGACTCATCTAAATCATCAGTTTTGAATGATGATATTAAACTCACTTTCCTTAGTCATTCTACCGAGAAGTATCACTTCATGTATGGCTTTTTAGACCTTAAAAAAAGCAAAAGAACTATTTCAACAGATTTCGACTCAACACTTTTCTTCTTTCATTGAATGTGCGTTGGTGAAGTAGATTCACGTCATTTCTAGTCGAATCGTAGTTGGCGCTTTTTCTAATTGCCATTTCACTCGTATTTTACTCACAATTGTTCGTTTCATATACAGGTTACATTCCTTTCATGCTACTTGAAACTGACTAACAGAATGAATGTTCTTAGGAAAAGTAGACGAAAACTAATTAGAATAATTACAACCTTATGTAAATATGGTTGACTGTGATCAAAACAAACAGATTAACGTAGTACCTCGCACAGAAGTTTATTTCAAGTCTCCACACTCCACAACACCATGCAGTTAAGAAATGGATAGAAGCTATATTAAAGTCGACAAAAGTTTGTGAGAACTGAGGTAATGAGTAGTGAATGATAAGAATCTTCAAGACTTCGAAGATAATAGGGAGGATATTCATCTGCGCCATTTCGACGTATTTTGAGCTACGTTACCCGAGAGTTCCTAACTATTGATGTCTCCATGACCTCAGCCAAGCAGACTACATCTTTTTACACGACTCAGACCAACAACTCAAGAATTCATGAACTGCTGCTACGTCTTTATCCGACCATTCTTAGCCTTTTCCCAACGCAATATTACTTCACTGTTGGTTGAAATAGTTGGTAGATCGACAAGTGCAACGCTTGCTCAGGCTACTTCAGTTACTGAAGGTTCTTAATTTCATCGACTGGCTTGTTTTCTTTGCCTAAAACTTCACGCCTAACGTCAACATTGCTCATACAGTGATTCTACCATACACGAGCAAAGCCACAAAGACAGTAACCGAAATGTTGTAACCTCTTTATATATTCTGTGATACAGTATACTCATCCTTTAGTAATTAGGTTAATACCTTGACGTCACTCTTCATTGTGGTCAGAACCTGCTGGAACCAGTCTTCTCGCATCATTTGGTTCGGATGACGTCAGGGAAATCCAATGACGTTTGTTAATCTTCCAGTGTAGGTTACCAGTCGTCTTTACCGCTGTTTCTACAGCATACTCAATATCACACCAGGTTTCTGCAGAGTGAGCATTGCTGTCAGATCCAGATAAATGCTTAGCTATCTCTTTCCCAAATATGTACTTGTGGTTCTTATCTTTCAACTGACCATAGACAGGCTTTACTGCCTCCTATCTTTTGCGGCCTGTAATACGCAGACATGCACAGATACGTACTAGCTGGTGATGGGAGTTGAAACTGCTACTCCAGAAAGTGGGGCAATTCTCCACTGATCGTCTCCAACCGTGGCTTATAGCAATGTGATCTACCTGTGTCCATCGTTAGTTTGAAGTCGGTGGACGCCATGTGAAACAGTGTCTCTCCTTATGCTTAAAGTTAGTGCTGGTCAGAAAGAAGTGATTGTTGGAGCGAGATTGCAACACACGATCATCGTTATACGTTCGTTGACATGGAAATCTGTAAATCTCACCAATATACGTTTCTGATTGGTCAAGCTTCCCTGCTTGGGTGTTGAAGTCACTTGCCATTATGATCACATTTGAAAGGTTTGCTTTCTGTAGCAAAGTTAACAGCTTTCCATAGAATTTATCCTTCGCATCATCCGAAGTGCAGTTGGTGATGTGTAGGTGGAGATTGTAAATTGGAATTGCCTAGTCTCATGATCCTTCCTAGTATTTACACATTCATTCAGTCGAACAGCGCATAGACGGCTGTTGACTGGTATCCAGTTGAGAAGCGCACTTTCTGCTCCACAACTGAATGCTATTTCTACACCAGCGAGTCCACTAGAGCTAGAGCTAGTCATTGAGTCTGTGGATACTCGTAAGGTGAATTTTGGAGATTGACTACTATGGCCAGGTGAGGTGAATTTAATCAGCACATGCGGGTCCTGTATAGGTGTCTGAGAGACACAGCATCCATCCATGACTGGAGACTGCAGAGTTGTGATGAGAGAAGCTTTCTTTCTGATTTGGCATGGAGTTTGGACGTTGAAAGGTGCTACATGAAGTCGATGGTGGGCAGTGTCTTAGGAGACTAGAAATGAGGTTTCTATGACTGATGGTTTGCAATAGTTGGAGAATGAGAGGTTTGGTGAGGCGTAAGAGGCTTAATATTGGTATCAAGAGGTGTCACACAGCCCTTAGCACATTCTTTTGAGGTTTGGTTGTTCTAACTCTGGATAAGTAATACTTATACAACCGACATCAGAAGACCGGGGGTAGGGAGTGTCTTTTTTTGAGGCCGACGTTTTCTAACCCCGCCTTTCCACAGCAGATGCAGCATCATCGTGGCACTTGTGTTCATCTACGGCAAACGCCTTACTGTTTCCACATCCCACCCAACAGTGCGACTTCCACCTTGGATCCCCATCATAGTGTAGCAATTTAAAATACAACTGTAACTGCTTTTCATCTTACCGGTATCTGCAAGCCCTTTTTGGCGTGGTAGGACCTCAAGTGAACAAGCGTACTAGCTCATTGGGTCATTGCGATATACAAGCTAAAAAGTACTGAATCGATATTTCATTGCTTTCCAAGTCTCATTATCGTAATTTGTCTGGATTCGCTGTAGAAATTGAGCCTGTGATAATCGCCTTTTGTAAAGAGCAGTTATTTTTTTTCTTGGAATCCCTTTTACAATCTATGTATGAGGCTAAATATTACTGACTAGCTCAGCTAAGCAAAGTTGTGGTATTAAACTTGAGTTTTTAAGTTTAGGGTTGTTGAATGTTGTCATGAGATACATATGTTTGGCGAAGTCTAACGAGCTGAGTTAGGTTAGAACTCATATCTCAGTGATTGTAGGTTCCAGCACATCTAAAACTTTAAAAAACCACGACTAAATACATATTTCTTTGCTGAAGTGCAAACTAAGTGGTCTTATGTATAAGAATGGGCAGTACCACTGCACTATCGAAACACAAGTAAACCAAGCTAATTCATACCAGCTGACTAAGACAGTGAGTGGTATGATTGAATAATACTACATGGCTCTAAGTATGATAGGTGGAATAGAGCTCAAACTCATAGTTCAACTGTTTCAAGGTGGGTCCCTACCTGCCTACACCATCAACGCTCGTCTGCATAAGTTGGACAAATTCTTTAAACTCCTTCACTAGCAATATTATCCATAAAACCGTTGAATTTATTGTTAGTCATGGTGTTTAAAATTCGCTTCATACCTTCTGTTTTGAAGTGTACTACAGATGGTGTTCGCTTTGTTTTTGTTACCGTAAAAATTATAATAATTGTTGTTATCGCTTTTGACTTCCCATTATTGTTTGTTTTTTCTTGAAGACGAGTGTATCGATGGTTTCTATTTATTCATACAACTTCCTATGTACTTGGTATTGGTGGCTATATTCTAATGATGTTGACATTTTTTCAAGTCAATCTTCTCTTCTTCCTGCCTACAAAGATAGCAATGGATTTTGCATTATTGGTATTGTTTTATGGTCTATATTATGGTGTTATTGCTCGAGATTTTGCTGAAGTCTGTACAAATAAAATGGCTGCACAAATATCAGTAAGTTGAATCAATGTAGATTACCGAAAATTCCTATTGATGATCATAACTTTGGGGAAAGTATTTCATAGCTGGACAAAGGTATCTGTTTTTAAGCCAATAAACGACTCTGTTCTTTATACAAACCAGATATTTTTACAGGATAATTTCACATTAGATTTAATTTATTTCAATAAATTTATTTAACAGTTCACTTTTATCCCCATCTTTATAGAGAGAAATAAAGTTATCGTCAGTGTATTTTATTCATGACATTTTTGAACGGACTTTTCTTTAGTTTGACGAAAAGTAGGTCAGCTAGAATTGAATTAAACGGTAAATCCAAAGCGATCCTATTAATTTGCGTATAATGTGTGTTGCGGAAGATAAAGTGTACATTCATAGTACATCTAAAAAGGATATCCTTGAAGATTTACCTTTGAATTCCAATAATAATTTTTCCTTTCAATATCTGTTGGCAGACAAACTCTACTGTTTCCAACAATGGCACTTTTGTGAAAAATGATAAAACATCAAGCGATATTGTATGTTTCCTATTGGAGTAAATGACACTTTTTAAATGTTTTGCTGAGCAGAAGAGATGATTCACTAAGTAGATGTGTGTGTAGAAAGATCATATCTATAGGTCAGTACACACATTTTCTTCGCCGCCTACCTATTCAGTACAAAATAAATCTAGTTAAACACCTTACTAGGCGAACATTATATAAACCACCCGGGAAAACATTGATAAATATTGGTAACACGCGAGTCATTAACTTTTGATTCGCTAGTAGAACTAAAAACATTACCCGCCCTAAGGTTTGTCAATGGTTTTAATGAAAAATATAAGATACAAAACCACGAAATAACTAGAAATTGTAGTGAAATGGATTAGAAACTTAGAGAAATGTGGTAAAACTCTGTGATGGGACTACAGAGTGATCAGCACTGACCTGTTAGGTGAAAGTTTAGTATTGAAACAAACGAACCACTGCTGGACTTTGAACGTATTTGTATACCGATGAGTACTGTTGTCTGATTTAAATTATTATGCAAAGTGACATTGTATTGGTTGAAGTCTTTAGACAGCCATATTGGTTAAATTAAAGAATGGTAACTTCATATGATCTGTGGGGGAGTAGGCTAGATAGTTGAATAAACCCGTTGTAGTTATGAACTAGATGTTTGATGCCTGTAACTGCCACAAATATCACAGTTCAAAAATGTGTTTCCTTTCTTAAACAATATACTTCTGTGTGTCGATACTGAAGTGGTTAGAGGGTTTCCATAACAAGTATCTTCGTAGCATTGCTCGTGTCTACTGGAATCACCGTGTGAGCAATGTCGAAGTCAGGCGGAGGGTATTAGGCAAAACAGGCAAGTCGGTTGATGAGGTCGTGAACCTTAGTCGACTGAAATACCTTGGATATGTACTGCGCATGCCGAGCCACCGCCAACCTCAATGTGCCATGCTAGGCGAAACTGGATTAGGACGGAACAGGTTTAGGGTGGTCAGACCAAGAAGTCGTTGATTGTTAGTCTCAGTTGTGTGGGGAGATGTGGACAGCCTGGTTGGGGTTCTCGAGACGATAGGAATGAGTGGTGGAGGAGTTTTGGTGACATGGTTGAAAATCGGTCACAGTAGCGTAGATGTGTTCACTGTTTGACATCTTTTAAACTAACTGTTATCTTGAGATTGTTTATTCTCTCACACAACTCTGTATCTACTTTGATATCAGTCTTTTTCTATCCACCTGTTCTTTGTATACGATTGTGAAGTGTGAAAACTTGAGCCGCGGAACCTATGTACTAGGATCTATGTTGATTTTGTCTAACTATGTGGTGTCGATAATTTCAAGAAATAGTTTTCAGTACATAATTTATTTGGTAGTAGTATGTTGTGTAAAAACTGTCAAACATTTTGTCTCCCAAAAGAACACCTTTCCAAAATAAGTCATTCTATAAAGCACTTTTTAATTCTGATGTGTTCTCTGAAATATGAAATTGTTTGTTTGAATAGAATGACCGTATGCTTAAATAATAGTTCATGTATATAGTGTTTACATTCAATGAAGTTGTGGTTTGCGGAATCATTTTCACTAGCTAATGATTGAAGTAAAAGATTTCAATTAACCTGAAAACTCACGAATTCTGCCTCCCTAAGAATGGGATTTTACCGTCCAACATTAGTGCATTTCATCTGGCTGGTAATAAAGCGACTCAGGTTTATTCCTGTCCCATATAGATTGGCAGGATCACTATCGCCAAAGTTCCATAAACTCTTCCACATGACTCCTTACAATAATTCATTTGTAAGATGGAAACAAACCCATTAACGACTGGATATTTCCCTCTATCCACATGAACTCAATGTGGGGGGGGGAATAAAACCCGGAACGATGCCCTCTGTATTAGGTCTCACGTGGATCTGGTAAACTAATTAGCATCTGTGGGAATGTGACTCACCAGCGTAAGCATTCGATCTTCAACTAATGGGACCGGAGCCATAATCCCACTCCACCTTCATCCGCCTGGACAACCAATTAGTATCACAAACCCTCACAATGTGTGACTGATAGTTCAGAATGAGTTACATTAGTTTCTTTTTTACTTACTTACTACGATTCTTATCTCCCCCCCCCCCCCCCCTTATACTCCGATCCCATTCTTAGGGAGGCAGAATTCGTGAGTTTTCAGGTTAATTGAAATCTTTTACTTCAATCATTAGCTAGTGAAAATGATTCCGCAAACCACAACTTCATTGAATGTAAACACTATATACATGAACTATTATTTAAGCATACGGTCATTCTATTCAAACAAACAATTTCATATTTCAGAGAACACATCAGAATTAAAAAGTGCTTTATAGAATGACTTATTTTGGAAAGGTGTTCTTTTGGGAGACAAAATGTTTGACAGTTTTTACACAACATACTACTACCAAATAAATTATGTACTGAAAACTATTTCTTGAAATTATCGACACCACATAGTTAGACAAAATCAACATAGATCCTAGTACATAGGTTCCGCGGCTCAAGTTTTCACACTTCACAATCGTATACAAAGAACAGGTGGATAGAAAAAGACTGATATCAAAGTAGATACAGAGTTGTGTGAGAGAATAAACAATCTCAAGATAACAGTTAGTTTAAAAGATGTCAAACAGTGAACACATCTACGCTACTGTGACCGATTTTCAACCATGTCACCAAAACTCCTCCACCACTCATTCCTATCGTCTCGAGAACCCCAACCAGGCTGTCCACATCTCCCCACACAACTGAGACTAACAATCAACGACTTCTTGGTCTGACCACCCTAAACCTGTTCCGTCCTAATCCAGTTTCGCCTAGCATGGCACATTGAGGTTGGCGGTGGCTCGGCATGCGCAGTACATATCCAAGGTATTTCAGTCGACTAAGGTTCACGACCTCATCAACCGACTTGCCTGTTTTGCCTAATACCCTCCGCCTGACTTCGACATTGCTCACACGGTGATTCCAGTAGACACGAGCAATGCTACGAAGATATTTGTGATCAAATAGTTTTAATCGCTTTATCTCCATCTACTTTTAACATCGTGTTTCGCAACCATATAACGGGACACAACGGGCTGCAGCGCAATATACTCGTCCTTCGATAGACAGTCGGATATCACGTGGGCGCTGCAGGTGATGCAAGTTGGCAAATGTCAAATGGTCCTTATGTATCGGAGCTGAGATTTCATCAGCAATCAACCTGCTTGGATTGAAGCAGCTCCCCACGTCAGGAGGGATTTGCACGAAGTTTCATAAGACTTATTCAGATCGTTGGTATTCTCAGTTTGGAAACAACGAGCCAATTTCGCATGTGCTAACCATAAGCTGGTCAGTTTAACTAAAATGTGGAGCTGTGACTTGTTGGTTAAGGCAGCTGAATTTCAATAAGTGGGCTATGGGTTGGAGCACCACTTTACCTACCAAGGTTTAAACAGCTAGGTAATACCATTAACCTTCACATAATGGATGTGGCTCACTGTCTCTTTTCCGTTTCGACTGACTCGGTGTATAATATTCGAGAGTTCATAGTCTCAACCCCTAAATTCGACCTCGAGAAAACTTGGTGGAAGAAACGCCCATCAAAACATGAAAAATGAACAAGTATATCAGCAAAGATGCCCTTATTTAACCATTTCGTTCTCAAAGTAGTAGAATCACAAATAAATACAAGTTCTGGTGACTATCCCTTGTCTTGGGTATCTACAGTAGCTAGTTGGACATAGTAAGTAGCTGTTATAGATAGCGGAGACCAACAAAAATAAACCGGAAGTTGCACGAAGAGTATTCGGATGAAATGTTGCATAACATGATAAGAGACTATGTAGTTAAAAAGAGCGTAGGAACAGAAATGAATCGCGCCTCGAATAGTACCGTGTCTCTGGCTACGCAATGCTGAGAGATGTGGCTTAGAATCTCTTGCAGGACGTCATTTCCATTGAGGTTGCAGATACACTTTGTTGATAAATACAAGCAGAAATGAATAGAAATTGTTTATGAAATAGGCAGAATGAAAAAAAATGGGATGCCTTGAAAATAAACAATAAAATAAAGCAAAAACCTGACTTAGAATTAAAACTATGACAAGAAGGGGTTAAACAAGCTTCTTTCCTCTGCTTAGGTCAAGACTTTTCAAGTGAGTAGTCAGCTCCTCAGTGATGCAAAGGATACATAAAGATATACGACTTTTGGAGGATTTATTTTTGTTTTATAAGTAACTTTGAAAGCTAAGTCTCTTGAAGTAGAATAGCCAGTGTCGAAGATTTTTTTCAGTAATACCACTTCTGACAGACCCATTATCACCTCTTTTCAACCATTCGGAATAATATTCCTGGATATTTTTCAGATTAAACTCGCATCTGACAACCTATATGCCTTACTCCACATGAGTAGGTGAACTGATTTATTCTCATAGAGTTGGTCTGGTATGAGTTGGTAGGGAACAGTGTGCGACTTGTGAATACTAATCTTGACGTCGATGCAAAGAATATTTTTCTTTTCTCTAAAGTATCAGCCAGTGGATCACCCTTGAAGTTTAGATTTATGCAGAATATATATATATTTTTCTCTCAGAAGTGAATATTTCTGCAAAGTTGAGACATTAGGTTTTTGTCGATAAAATGAGAGGTGGCTCATCTTCAATCAGGATTTTTCTCAGAAGGGGAATTTCCTCTTCGAAAGCATCTGAGTTGCACACTCATGGGATGCTAGTGGTACGACACATAATTAAATTTCTCTTGTGTCTTAAGGATTCTCAGCTGTAATCGCTTATTCACTGACCATTCCACATAGGCTTCTTGTAGATAGGTACTTTCAGTATCTAGGATGGCAGTTTTTGATTCATTTTCCAACTAAAGAGTAAATTTGATCGCCGAGTGACAATTATTGAACACCTACAGAACAGATAATAAAAGTATGCATAGATGAAAGCCGTTGAATTACTGATTTCAGCTGGCCTCATATCTAGATAAGCGTCCATGGATAAGATTTTCACACTCCAATGCATTTTGGAACACAGACACACTTATCAAATATCAATATTTTGCCATATCTCTTGACCTAAAGTGGTATTATACTTAGTCAATCAAAAAGTATTTTGACAGTGTAACTGTGAATAAAATGTTAAGCAAGTATTCCATATTAGATTTGTTTATTTGATTTATAACATACAGTGATCTAGTATTATTTACTTGATGACATTTCGAGCATAAATTATTGCCCATAATCATATCAATAATTTATACTCGAAACGGCATCAAATAAACAAATCTAACATGGAATTAAATTCTACCACAGTGCCCAAGTTTTACACCTATATTAGTTAAGCAAGTATATTAAGTTAATCAGGGTCCTCACATGTAGAGGTGCGAAGGCTTATGGGGTGTATTTCGGAACATTTTCACTACCCTTCTATGTATTCTATCACCTCTCAACCTTTTTTCATCCTTTTCCTCATTGTGTATTATTCTTAAATGTACCAATATGAACTATGATGCATTACTGTGAAAGTTGTTTGCACTTTGATTTATCTATATCTGTATATCTCTAAAGAGGGGGAATTTAAGCATTCTGTTTAATTGACATGAGATCAACAAAACCTATAGTTGACGATGGTAGATGATTTCAAACGACAGCAGTCGCAATGGCAAAGATGTATTCATAGCCTGTTTTCAACTGAGTCATAATATCACCCTTCCTTGTTTTATCTTACCTGACCTTTGTTGAATGACGTTTAAGGACTGTCTGCTTTTTCTGTTTGTCTATCATCTTGTTACCGCCTACTCTAATAGGCAGTGGTACAAGTTATTGTTTTAGGCTGTACAGAAAATCTACATTTCAGGCCAGTAGTGTTTACTTTTGATTCATCTAATGCATTTCTATAATTTTCTACTTTATGACATAGTAATTTTTATGTAATACTATTCAGTTCCTGCTACGTTTTTCACTATAGGATATGCTTCTAGGTATTTATGTCAGTTTGCACTCAAAGCTAAGCTCCTGTTAGAGTGGATACTATACTAAATTAGATTTTTCTTCTATTGAATAATTTGTATATATGAGCTTCTTTCAATTTGTTCGAATTAAAAACAGCATATGGTTTATAGTCTATTATACCCGTCACCCAAGAAGTGGCTATTGTGAATGACTCAGTGACCTAGTGGAAGACGCTTTAGCGTTTGAAGCGACTTGCTCCGGTTCAAGTCCTGGTGGGAACGATATCACTCACTAGGAAGAAAGTATATCCAGATGACGAGTCCTAAACAGGACGAAACGCTCGTCGTGGATCCCATTGTTAGGCACAATCTATCATAGTTATATGGTTCAGTGTAGGATAAACGTTAGTTTTGATAATAGCAAGAATAATGCATAATTCTCAACTTCAATTTCATTATTTTTATCCAACTTCTAGTATCGCGTTCCTCAAGGTATGCCAATTCGAAGAATCGATGCATCGGTATGCTCAATATGTACAAATGATTTGGTAACAGATGGTGGAGAAAAAGTTCATCGGCTCAACTGCACTCATGTGTATCCTTACTATTTTAATTTCGAAATTTTCTAAAAGTATATATACATGTTATTTAGATGTGAAGTTAAAGAGGTTTACCTAATTTCCTTGTAACCTGAAATCTTTCATTTTCAACCTGATGTTATAGTGAATGTAAACTCGTATGATGCATTATATTACTGCAATAGCTAAAATTGACAATTATCAAAAAAGCTTTCATGTTGTCAATTATTATTATTATTATTCGATCCCTGGCAAGTTCATGAGTGCGTACTGCTGAGGAGTCCCATAACAGAATGAAACACCTGACCAGTACTTCCAAGTTTCCAATATTTCTCCAAATGATATCAGTACATAATGAATACGAACCTACAATTCGCACAAATTACTGTCAAGACACCATCCAACCAACAAAAAGTTGTTTAATGGTTTATCACTTTCGACTAATAAGTGTTCAATTCAAGACACTTCATAACAAAACTACGCAAATCAAAACAGTAGAACAGACTTTAAGAGAGATGAGTTAAAGTTTTATTTTACAAAAAAAAAACCTTAAAGTATGTTTTTGTTGGATTTAAGATCTCTAGGTTAGGTCACTGATCTACGTATCTGCAGTCCTAAAAATAGATGTTACTCAGCGACCATATTTAACTTTTTGCTGTAGGCAATAAACCAAATCCACCTCTTGAAAGGGTAGATAATATCATAGAGCTGTTCAAATCTTGTTAGGTGTAGTACGGATTTCGAAATCATGCTTCAATCTTTAAACGGTAACTGCTTAGACCATGAAGCCACAGCTGCAAACAAGTCTACAGTAACCTTAGTCGGTAAATGATTTGTATAACTTGTATACATTTCTGATCTATAGTAAAAAAGTTAAGCAAACAATTCTTAAATCTAAAAAAGTCTTTTGTTGTATTTATGGTCATATCACCTTTACTGAGCAGCTAAGCGTGTATTGACTAACAGTTAAATATCTGTATAAATTGTGTCATATGGAGTAGTGGGAGATTAGTTATTTGTCTCTCATTTAGATATTCTTACTTCTTTGTATATCATTTTGACGTTAAGCATTACCAAAAAAACACGTCGATATATATTGACTATGGGACTGGTTATTCCAATATTTCTTCTGTAAACTATTTTTTAGCTTTCTCAAAAAAAAATTGGACATAACTAGTAAGTGATTGAAAAACTTAAGTTTTTCTTAACGATCTTCTTTGTCCATATACATTAGCAAGAGGTGGGAAGCATTTTTAGCCTTCCATATTACATTTGTTTATTTGATTTATAACACACAGTGATACAGTATTACTGACTTGATGATATTTCAAGCATAAATTATCATTGCTCATAATTATATCAGTAGAATCATACTACTTTCGACAAATGATTTGTTTCTATTGGTAGTAAAGTTTCCCATATCTCTGGTATAGGTGTTGCGTCATTCCTACTACATGTGTTGGATATTGAACAAAGATTTAGTAATCAACCGCTCTCTCCGCCTAATTATATTGAACTTAAGTACAGTGGTTTAATCCCACCTTATTTCGTGGTTGTGTATTAATCCATGCAATGCAACAGCTGAGTTTTTTTCTAGATTATTGGTTTTATTCGGGTCTTTTATGTTTCAGTTCTCCATTTAGGTCCTGGCACTGACTAGTCAGTTTTCTAGAGCTATCATTTAGATATTTGACTAAACTTGCCTTAACTAACATTAAATGACATGACTTGAAGTCTAGAGGCAGTCTGGAGGTGCTGATAGTTAATAATTATCCTCCATAGTTTATTAAGGAATTCCTGCGAATTCACAAGAAACGAAATAATGACAGTAACATGAGTACGAACAATAACGACAATAAGAGTAGAAAGGAGTTCACAGCCTCCATTGTGTTACCCTACAAGGAGGGCACATCAGAAACTTTACGTAGGATTTTCAACAAACTCACTCAAATCCAATAGAACTAACTGAGCAAAATAATCTAATCTATCGAATTTCACGTAATGCATGCCGAGGTCAAGTACATAGGTCAAACTAGGTGGTCGGAGTCAGTTAGAATAACGGAACATAGAATGACAGACCCGAATAAAACCAATAAACTAGAAAAAAAAACTCAGCTGTTGCATTGCATGGATTAATACACAACCACAAAATAGGATGGAATTAAACCACTGTACATAAGTCTATTATAATTAGGTAGAGAGAGCGGTTGATTACTAAATCTTTGTTCATCGAATCAACACCCAATACATGTAGTAGAAATGACGCAACACCTATACCAGAGATATGGAAAACCTTACTATATAATTAACATTATTATTAACCTGTACCCGGTTGGACTGTATTACATGTTAATAGTTATTCAAGATACATCTATTCACATCTCATCATGTTAAAATGAAGATAATTTTCAGCTTATATTTGTAATGCCAATAATGTAAAGATTTGGCTCATCGATCTACGAACTCAACTTTGGACGAATGAGTTACAAATCCCACTCTAACTCCCGAAGTTTGAATAAGCATTCACAATACTCGTACGTAGTTCATTGTCTAATACATAAGCTTGTATGTAATTGCTAAATTAGACTAAATTTCTTCTCTGGAAACTTGAGGTTACCTTTTTTTTGTCTAGTGTAGCTGAATAGCTTGATTCGTCAATCACTACCGACTGAATAAATACCAATTAACACAAACACCAAGCCTATAGTGTGTTCTATCCATGATACCTGACAATCTACAACCACAAATGTCAGTGCAACATTCTAGAAATACAAAAGTTGTAAAAGTGTTTAGAATTTTAGATGCCTTGAAGTAACTTGCGAAACTCCTTAGCATATTATTATCACCATTATTTACCTATATATTTAGCTTTCATGATTTTTGTATTCGAGGCTGGTGCATTATTGGAAAGAAAGATACCTGTCCATACTGTAGTGAGAAGGTGAATTTAAAGCAAACATTTACAAATCCGTATCCTTTTTAAACGAATGTTTTCGGTTTACATTTCAAGGTAAGGTGTAGCCTTCATGACTATTTTATTGATAATTCGTTATTGAGTATATTCATATCAGTTTTATTTACTTTGATAAAACAGTAGTGAAAGTGTAACAGTTTTTGTGGAAACTGTTACACTATACAAATTCTATAACCTAATCAAACTTTGAACTAAAACGTGATCTTTTTTCGATAAAGTTTGAAGAGAACTGTTCTGCACATCGAAAAGTACTTATTCTCACCAAAAACTACACGCAGTTATACAGAATCAGTTCACTTTGTGTCTGCCATTTCTATTACCATGTCAACAATGAAGTATACACTTGTATGTTGGGCAACAAGCCACACGTTCATTTATAGTTACAACAAAAATATATGTTGGAGAATATTTGTAGCTCAGATGTATGATCTTAGTTATACTGTATTCTCTGAGCTAGGTGGTTTAATCGTAAAGCTTTCACTATCTTTACACAAAATCATCAGTGATAACTTCAATATGAAGTGAGCTATCAGTATTTCTCTGTGAATGATTCAATAGCTTGCCTTGACGAAACAGTTTGTGGTTGATGGTTTGCTGTGTTTAATTAACTGAGTACATTTTCCTGTTGACTGTTTCTCTGACCTTGCAGTTGTTTGTCTTTCATTTTGTTAGTTGATAGATTTTGTATATGTCTATACATCTATGCATTGCTGACTGATCTGAATTTTAAGCTTCTAGGAATTTTCCGGTATTCTTATGAGCGACAAGATTTCGCGATGTTTATTATCTAACTGATGTTGATCTAAACGAAGGTGAAGAGCGCAACCGCTTTGTCTAATGTAATGCTGATTTTGTAATTTAGTTTGTCATCCTTGACTGTTGCGCTCTTCCGTTTCTAAAATATGGTTTAAAGGGAATTTGTTGGTCTATGAACCACACCATTTCTGAATGGTCTCAGGAATCATATCTTGGTCTCTAGTATTTTCTGTATGCATGATAAGATGATCCGTCTGCTGATTTCCGTGGATAACTTTGTAGTTTATGATGAAGGGGTTAGGCATTTTTTGACGAACTTCCATGGATAACCACTCCTCTTCGTTTCTCTGTGAGGTTGTTGTATTGCAGTGTTTTTGCTCTTTTCAATAAGGTCTATATGCTACTAATTTTGCGTATTGTTGCTAGTGTAATTAAGAATTCGATCAATGTGCGTTGACTTTCTGTAAACTACTTTTGAATTCCCAACATTTTGGCGTTGGTTCCACTCGCTAAGACATCCAGGAATGGTAATTTGTTGTTCGATTACCTTCTCCACTGTGAATATGATATCTTTTAAAAAGTTGTTGATCAAACGGTAATTATTTTCCGATTCATCCTTTTCGGTGATAGCATCAGTATCGTTCAGATAGCAGATCAAAATCTTTGGTTAGGTTAGACGTCAAATAATGGTTTCTATACTCTAAATTACTCTGCTTCTGTAATTATTCTAGATATCGATGATCCTATTGGAGTTTATTTCATCTGTTTGCCACTAAGTTGTCAGGCAAAGATCGGTGAGTTTCATCAGAATTGAACGGTGAATTTGTGCTTTACGAAAATATGGTGCCGTCAAGGAGGCGGAGAAATATAGTTATCCTTAGTCAGTTTTGGTTCAGTTGATGTCGGACATCACTAATTGGTCGTTTCCTATGTTAATGCCTTTGATTCTTTCCAAAATGTTTTCCGATGATTTGATGGAATATATGAATGATTCCTCAAAGTATTTCTGTTTCGTTGTAAGCTCTCTGGATGGATTATGAATGACAATCCTGAAAGTGAGACTATTAGTCGTAGAATGCCTAGGTTGGGTATTTTTGGTCGATCGTCAAACCGAAGAAGAACAGGTCCATTCACCATTTGTCTCTCTATATCTCTCCTGCTTTGACGAGCTTGTTCAGGATTTCAGTGATTTGATTGTGAAACTTTTGCATAGGGTTAGTCTCAAGTGGTTGATGCATATTCTTGTCCTTGAGTAAATCCTCTGCTTTCTTGGTGTAGTCTTCCTTATCCATGACTACAATGGTGCGCCCTTTGCCTTCGTTATTCTTTGTCTCGCCTGCTTGGTTTTTCAGTTGTGGTTGTTGACGCTGTCAGGTGTCGTTGGTTGTCAATCACAAGTTGGTACTTCCGGATCCGAAAATATCCATCTGTAATCATCAGTTGTACCAATTGTCTGCCACTTTGTACAACTATTTTCCATCCAATTAAACAGTTAATCGGTGGACATATAGTTTCATAGTAACTGTAACTGCAAATATAAAGCTTCAGAAAATGGTTTGTTGAAGAGAAAATTTCTTCACCGCATTGTTTTTTGTTAATTTTTCGTGATCCAATAGGACTACATCTATGAGCTTAGACTGTTTGCCTGGACAGGTGTTAGCAATACTAAGGTAACGCACAAAGCGTTTTCTGTTGGTATTTATTACGCAGAAAGATACTTGGTTGTTACTAATATATTGCCTCAGTAAGGTAGTTTTTCACAGCATAACTGTCCTACTTAATTACTACTGGCAGTCTTTTTGGTTAAGCAGTTATAATGACAACTACTAAAATTGCTTGTTCGGATAGAGTGATGCTTTAAATTGATAGTCAGAATCCTACATCTCATTCTGAAACAAAAAATTCAGAAGTGTACACAAATATAACAGACCTCTTATTCTACCAGAAACAGTTTGAACATGTAGAACGTAACCCGAACCAAGAAAAAACTATGAAACATAGAACAGGGAACTTATCTTCATCACTAGGCTAAGGAAGATTTTCGGTATGCATTCTGCAAGCTTTCTTAACTGCCTTTATCTATACTACTAGATGGGATAAGCCACATATACTATACGGAAATCTTTTGGATTGGGTACGTTATCTGGTCGCTTGGCAACCTGTGATATTGGGCTTGGTTCAGCTTCTCAACTCTGCATTGGGTTTACAATGAATATTCTATGCGGATACTTATATCCAGAATGTTCTCTTTGCATCCAGGATCTTCAGATTATACAGTGTCGTTACTTGCAAATATATATAGTATATCGACATGAAATGTTTTCTCAATAATCACTTTAGACGGCTCGTACTCTAGTTTAGGATTCCTGTAAATATAAACCTGTATTTTGCAGTATATTCTTTACACCAGATAGGGACTTCTGTAAAGTGTTGATGTTAGTTATTGCGTTGATCAATCATTTCGGACATCCTCAATTACAGTTGAAATATGTATGGCTTTTTGCCTCTACAATCAGATGGCCAAAATTGACTGCTCGGGATCAGAATTTACAAGCACCTAATCCCACAATTAGGCAAAGTAGGATGACGAAAAATCTTTATATTTTGTACAAAATAATTAGTATACAACAAGAAAGTCAGGTTTCAGAGTTTGTAGGTGCAGTTGGCTCAACGGAGCATGATTGTCGGAATTTGTCTACAATGAAAATGAAAATAATTTGTTATGTATATTTAAGATTATGCGTTAGCTAAATTGTCAATCATATAATTCAAACAAGCAATAAAAGAGCACGTTTTACAGAAAATAGGGGGGGGGGGGAATCAATTGAATTTACAATCCATTTTTAAACATAGGAATAAAGGCAAGTGTTTCATCTACTTATTGTCAGTACAACAGCTACAAACTTAACAACCCATTCCATTAGAAGCTGTATTTACGTATGAGGAGCTTATTGGTTTATGCAGCTGGCTTTCAACCAATGGATTGCAGGTTCGAAAACCGCTCCACCTTACCGAGGTTTGTGCAACCGGAAAGTATCATTAGCCTTCACACGATAGATGTGACTGATTGCCTACTACACGATTGTGCACTATATTACTGTCAGCGTTTCGATTCACGCATGAATGGCACCGCCTGATATCTGATTTTCGAGTGTTTATCTTCATTTCACAGCTTCCGGTTAGTCTGAAGCGTTTTTAAGCACTAAACGGTAACTTCCATTAAACTATAGCATTTAACTCAGTTATGCGGAATCATACTTGTTACCGTCATCAGCGTTTGCGTCGTGTTGCACGTTTCATATCAGTGCATTTGCAGGTGTTAGTTTATTCCAACTAACATCTATTTGTTGCAGAGCTCCCACCCGCTGTCAATTGTGTATTGATTAAAATAAACGACGTTCCAATCAGTTACTGACGGTGCGGATACATACAGCTGATCTTTCATGTCTATCTGAACTCTCATCTTGGTGGTATGCGATAATTTTTCTTTTACCGACGAACAAGCTGTTCTAAAAGGGATAATGTAAGCGAGAAGATTGTAATCAGTGAACTAACTGAACATCAAACTGGTGACATAAAATGGCAACTGTAGATCTGCTAGAAAGTGCAGATTCGTTCAAGACGTCAGAAGAGTTCTCATTAGTGACTTCTGGATTGCCGTAGGTTCCTGATAACTTATTAGCGCCCGTTAGCTCATTCTAACAATTTTAACAGTTGAGTCAGTATTCGTTATGTAAGTGCTGTGAAATTTCATACAAAAGACACTACAGTGGTAATATGCCTTATCTTAGGGGTGCCGTCGTGATGTCAGCTTAACTGCGAAAATTCTCATTGAACAAAATTCTGTTCCACTTGAGGGTTTAAGATTTTCGAAAACTCTGTATTCAAATATGACTGACTACGTAGAACTCCTTTAATCCAATCACAATAATACCTTATTGTAGTATGACTGATATCATTCAGTAGATGAAACCATCTTAAGACAAAATAATCACCTTTTTGAAGTGCACATTCCAAAGACTTAACCTTCATTCCGTTGAGTAGCTTTGAAATGCTTGAAGAAAGCAAAGGGATAACTGCTTTAGGATGGATCTCTGCAATAAAAAAAAGCTGTGCCTGGCTACCGAATCTTGGCACTTCTTCACCCTTGTAAATGAGATCCCAGAGATCTTACAACTCAATGCTTTAAGAAGTGGCTAAGGATCAAAATCAATAATTTCCGTGTTGCAGCACCCTTGGACGATCTGCTTTTGAAAAATAGAGAAAATTTTTGAGTAAATCTACATAACTACTTTTCAAATTGTGATCGTCTTGTTATTTTCGATCTCTTTTCAAAGAAAATTTATATTCTATACTGTTGTATTACTTTGCGTATTTCATTTCATGTGGTCTCTTTTCCAGCGAGTCTGTGCGAGTTATCTATTTAAATAAACAAAACAAGTAATCTGACAATCCTGTCATGGGATCTCAACCCCTAGTTCAACCTTCTAAAAATATTAGCATTTTATTGCCATAATAAGCATCGTAGTACTATCACTTTTGAAGAAAAAAGAGTGATAGACAAATAAGTCAACGCAGAACATGGCACAGAAATGCATTAGTTTAAGCTGCCACGCATAGCACGACTATACAAAGAAGAAGCGGATAGAAACAATGTAAAAGTTGAAACAGTAAATATATGGAAGGTTAATGGAAATATTCAAGACTTCGAATATAGCAAAGACTGTAAACAACAGTCTTATAACGATTGATTTTGAGCCAAGTCGACAAGAATATTCAACTATTGATTGATGCTATCTCAGACAGCTTACACCTAGACCAGTATCCAAAAACGTTATGAACTGCTGCCAACGTCTGTCTTTCCAGCCTAACCCTACTATGGTTAACATCGTATATCAAGGTAGCTCAACATTTCTAAGCTACTCCAGCCGTTGATACAGAAAAACTACACTGGATAGTTGGACTTACTCATGAGTTGCCCTTATTAATGTAGAGTACAATAACAGTATTACATTATTAAATATTTTAATAACTTTGACAGGAACTCAGTATATGTATTTCTTGAAAATGGCCATCAGTGATAAAAACAGACAGACGTAGAACCTTGCACACAAGTGCACAGGCTCACATTGGCACGCTTCACAACAGTACACAAAGTAGTGAGCGAATAAACAGTTTTAAGATAACGTTCAATGCGAACATTCTTATTTAGAAGACGTCAAGGAGTGAATACATCTATAATATTATGATCGATTTTTAGCCATGTCACTAAGAGTTTTCAACCACTGGTTTCTGTCGTCTCGGGGACTCCAGTCAGACAGTCTACATCTTACCATACGGTTGAGACCAACAATCAGGGACTTCGTGGATTTGTGCTACGTCTGGCCACCCTGAGCCCTCTTCCAATTTCACCTAGGATGGCACTTCGAGGTAAGAGGTGGCCTCAGCATGCGTAGTGCATGTCCAAGCCATCTCAGTCGACTAGGGTTCACAACGTCATCAATCGACTTGCCTATCTTATCTAGTATGCTTCACCTTACCTCAACATTACGGTGATTCCACCGAATGCGAGCAATGCCATGAAGACACCTATGATCAAAACCCTTCAACCGTTTCATATTTTCCACTTTTAGCAGCCGTATAACAGGATAGAACAGACTCCAGCGCAGTATACTAGTCCTTTGACAGATAGTCGGATGTCTCGCTGGTGCCACAGCTGACGCACGATGGCAAGTGACTTGTTTATTTGAGCAAAGATTTCGTCGTCAACCCGTTCGGGCTGATGCAACTTTCCTAGTAAGTGAAGTGGTCTACCCACTCCACCACTTCACTCCCTATCACTAAACAGGGAGTAGTTGCAGCAGACCTGTTATGGAGCACCATGTTACATTTGACAAGTGCCAGCGACACACATTTTAAAAATATTCAGATTTCTGCTCAACTTATATGTTCAGAAGACCCTGCATTTTACCAGCATCCTCATCTAGTATGACAATATCGTCAGCATACTCCAAGTCTATCAGATCACCTCCAGGGAGTGGATCAATCCGTGTGAAGTCATACGTACCCAAGGTGATGTTCATTCGTACGTGTATGACAAAGTTACGTAGGAACGGTGACAGTGGAAGTTTTATTAAACGCTTATTTTACTGGTCTAAAATTAATTGTTCGCAATAATAAAGAATATTCGTCGTCAATCAGGGGAAAATGAGTATCACATTGAGTTCTAGACTAGTTTGCTTAAAAATTTACTGTAAAAAATTGCAGCGCAACTCATGAACAGTGTTCTAGAAGTGGTTTCTTCTCGAGTCAACTTAATAGACTGTACGCAGGGACCATTCTACGTCCTCCTGCGAAGCTCACTACTAGGTGTAGCTAAAAATGAGATTAATAAAGGATAATATGTCTACATGATAGAAAGCGGCCTAAATGCAAGTCAGCATTTTAAGACATTAGCCGTTTTCGGATTTCTGTTTCATGTCACTGCGCGGTCAGGAAAAACCTTATTGGGCAATCTAACCTACACACGACCAATCAAAATAAGTTACCAAACTATTTGACTTCGTGGTTTTATACGTTCATGAAAACTGTATATAAATGTATTTTTGTAGAATAAAATGTCTTCCTTACCGTCACAGGGCAATCTTTGTCTTCTGACACTTGCGACTTAGTGAAGTATTAAGGTTCTGAGGAAGAACAGTCGCTCTTTGTATCCAGTTCAAGTATCTCATCGCGTTATTATCGAAATTATACAATCCTAAGCCTTCACGTTGTTTAATATGATAGAACTTAGAGCTATGAGAGGCTGGTGTAGACATTCCACTTTCAATCGGTGGGTCACGATTTCTAACACTGTCATACATAGTGAGGCTTAGGGAACCAGGTAACAACCGTTAACTTGCGTGTAATATATAGAGCTGTCTTGTAAACAGTGTTTTCATTTCATTATTGACACCTCAGAAAGCACAACTAATGCGCATACGCAGAGCAATACTTGTTGGCTAAAGGAGATTTCCTAATTAACGAGAATTAATCAGTAGTCTGGGAGTTTTTATCGACCACTCAGTGTACATGTATGTTTGATTGATGAGGTTTTGAACCTTAGTCGACTGATATGGCTTGGACATGCACTGCGCATGCTAAGGTCCCTGCCTACCTCGAAGTTGCACGTTAAAGGAAGGTGGACTAGGTTGGAAAACGGTTCAGGATGATCAGGTCAAGACTTAGCAACAGTCCCTGACTGCTGGTCTGAGTCGTGTACGGAGGTGTAAACTAACTGACTGGGGACCCCGAGACGATAGAAACCAGTGGTTGGAGACTATTGGTGATATGGCTAAAAATCGGTCACAATGACTATCAATGTATTCACTCTTTGACGTATTCTAAAGCTTGAATATTCGCACTAAGAATTATCTTCGAATTGTTTATTCTTTCACACAACTTGGTCTACTTTGAAATTACTCTTTTTTATTCAACTGCTCTTTGCATATTACTGTGAAATGTGGCAACTTGAACCAACGCACGTATGTACAAGGTTCTATATTGATTTTGCCTGTCTGTCTGCACGTGTAAAAAATTATTACAACGCACAGACACTTCCATAGTCGGGCAAATACATAATTATCAATTAGGTAAGCACGCCTTCCCTATTTCATGTTATCATACCACTTTGTAGGTTTTATAAAAAGGCTTCAAGAACCATAGACTAAAACAAATACACATTTCTTCCACCAAGCAGTCTAACTTACTACGTAAAGAAGTAACGTCTTTCGATTCTAGAACCTCATCGTCGTCATCATCATCATCTGAATCACTTTGTGGACGCATTTCTACACCATCAACGTCAGTTAGTGCATCCTTTTCGGCCTCATCATCATTGCCAGCTAAGTCCACAAGCATTGATCCATGCTTCGATGAACGAGATTTGTGGGTTTTCACTTTGCTGTTGTTTGATTGACCTGTACAATAGAAATATAAAAAAAAAACGAAGAGACAATGTCAAACGGGTAAATTATTATACTAATTGGTTGGAGGCAATTGGTAGAAAGTTTTAAATCTCGATTTTCTGCTTACTGGTAATCATCAAGCAAGGTGTATTTGCCACCTCGAGGAATTTAATGTCTCAAAGATCCTAACCGGCATCATTCAGTGGTGCAGTTAGGGGCGGTATCATTCAGAACTTAAGACTAGATCACATTAAATTGGTCAGTGTTCAGTGATAGATCAGTGCATCAATTCCATGAATTCTAACATCACATATTCGTCTAACCTCTGGTAAAATGAAATTACAATTACTCTTTTGTAACTTATTGTCTGCAATACAATACGCATATCATCGCTGTGTTTTTATCAAACAAAGCTCTTGGAACTTTGAAAATCACGATATTTTAAGCTAAATATGTTCCTTGCAACCAGTGGTTCCACGATTACAGTAAAACACCTATTCGAAACATTTATAATCATTATTATTTGATGATAATTGTAATACTTCGTTGCTATAGTGGATCGAATTAATCGGCATCTGTTGGCATATGAGCTGCTATGCGGATGCCACGATATTGCCTGAACACTTATTGTTATGACTGACTTGGTTTTGGCCAGCAGTGGAATCCAGAAAGCACATTTCATCCTATTTTGGACTCGTCGGCTGGATGTACCTGCATTCCAGTGAGTGGTATTCTTCCCACTGAGACTCGAATCCTACAGAAATATTCTCCCAAAAGGATAAGTTTAGTGTTCATTAGATGATGTTAGCTTTTTTCTGATCACCAACTAATTGCGCAATTAGAAATAAACTATTTTCAAGCATTGAAGTCAATCTGTGAAGTTTGCTTTACCTGTAATGATCTTAATCAATCCCCCCACAAACCTTAAACTTGTTTTTTCATATTTATCGTGATTATTTTAAAACTCACTGTTTTTATCTATGGATTGAGTAAGTGAAACTTGTCATATTAAATGCGCTAGTTCACAAAATAAGTGCTGAAAGTAACGTATGATAGTAAAATCGCTTATCCGGTTAAACATGTTCTATGTTATCAACGTGCGTGCATATATCAACACTAAAAGTGAAAAGGTCTGTATTTTATCGCTGAAATAGGATTCACTGCTTTAAATAAGCTATTTAAGGTCAGCGGGTTACAAGATTCTACTTACTAATATATCCATCACCAGATAGTATCGATGATTGAGTATGAGCCACAGCATGTAAACCTGTACGCAGCTCTAGACCTACAAACACCTGTTATTATGGATGTCAAAATACAGTATGTGTTAAGACGATGATATTAAATACAACCTAGACCTCAAATGATTTCTGTTTGGAGCAGAAGACATATATATCCTAACAACAGCTTGAGATGGGTGTGCAACCACATATAGTTGATATCATGAAACAGAATTCCACGTATTAAACGTTCAGTTGGTTTCAACTGTAAATACGCTTACCTGTCCTATCAACATATGGGTAAGAAATATGAACTTAGACAAGTATGATTAACTGTATTAATCTATCTTAAAAGATATTCTACCTATAGTTTCGCAATAAATGCGCATCAAACGAAGTCATCTATTGTGCATGATTTCGTCTTTAATATATGAGACCAGTTATTTCATTTTTGGCCAGAAAAGAAATCCATCGAGACATGCTAATTTGAATATTTCATTTTCATGAATTACAATGTGCTACGAACATATAATTCGGTTACATAAACGCATGACTTAAACCACTTGTAAGAAGGATATTGAGCAACAAATTTGAGTTCTAGTGAACTGCGACTGATGGCTAATTCTGGGTGTAAGTTAGGTGTACGAGAAGTTGTGACACATGCTTCGACCATAGTTATAAATGAATTCACATGATACATACACGCAGAAAATTCAACAAGCTTACCTTCTATATTTTTCTTACACTTTTCTTGTTTGGCCAATAGACTCGGGAGATATATCTGATAGGAAAATTATTAAAGGAAAAAATATGAAGCATCACAAAGTGAGATACGTATATGAACAATTGTAAAGTGACGTTTTGATCATAATCAGTAGGTAATATAACACTGTTCAGAGCACATCCACTGCACCATTCGTTAACCTCTCATTAGACTTTATATTAAAACACAATATTTTTTACCCTAACAAGTACAAATATATGAGGACTGACTGAAATTAGAGAATGTATACCCATCTCACAACTGTTATAAACTGCGGTATATATAACGATATAATGCTTCTACGCGATACGATTAACGATAAAACATATAGCTGAAAATTTAGTCTTTTATATACCCTTAGATGACCTTAGCCAGGGAAAATAAAGTAGCATATTAAGAGTTTAAAATGAACCAGTCAGCGTTTAGTATCCTGAACCGCGGTAGAAATCAGTAACATTACATGGAGTAAAAAGGGTGCAAAAGTATATATATATATATACATGTTGTTATAAGTTAGTCATTCTTAAGGACTAAACATCCCTAACAATTACAAATCAGGTTACTTAATGGTAACACTTGCTCATCACGATGCATATAGACAAAATTAACGTAGAAACCCACACAAAAGTGCATCGGTTCAAGTTGCTGCATTTCGAAGCAACTTACTGACCAATTTAAGACATGAGAATCATGTACGGGTCAGATTAATCGGTTTTACTTTATGTGTGGTTGGTAGTTCAGTCACTACATTTTATACAATTTTATCCTTCTAAAAAACGTTGATACTGTCACATAGGATTCGAATTCTATCATGTGGTGACCTGGATGGCAAAGTGACGTTGCTTGTCTTTTAGAAGTAAATCAGAATTCAGCACGCATTACAAGACCTATTCTAGTACTGGATTGTGTTAAATCCATAGAAGTCTACTAAGGTCAAATAAATGCAGTCACTAAGAATAATAAGAAAGTTAGCACACACACAGTGACCTACTTGTGGCTCATCGTCTTAAAAACACCGCTTCCTAGTTATATGCCCTGGGCTAGAATCCTACTCCCCTGTAGTTCATAGACTAATTGTTAACTCAAAGATACTTAGTATGCTTCTATCCTTTACACTTTGGATTTAATTCGTAAGTAGCAATATTCGATCAATTGTAATGTGTTACAAGAATAATAGCATAGCTTACTCGTGACTATTCACTTTTATGTTGTCTTCAACACGAAGCCTCATCAGAAGCAATCAGGTAATAAATTTTTGCCAGTATATCTGAGATGGCTTTAAATGAAATGAATATAACAACAAAAAGGTAGCAAGGAGAAGTTTTTCACAATAGCCTCACAAGAGCTGTAACAACATTGCTTATATACCCTGAAACCAATATAATTTTGGAAGACTGTTATGCAATAGGGAAGATAATGTAGAAGGGAAGGAAAGGAGTGGAAATTAACAGTGGAAGGATATACTGAGTAACAAGTTTAAAAAGAGACGGCTTCAACCGAAACGTACGAAACATTAAACAATGAATGCAATGAAAGCTAGGTAAAAAAAGATGATGGTCATGACAAGTCCAATGGATGCGTGTAGCTTTTTAAAAAGAAGATCAAATGTAGAGTTATGAATAGCCAACGATCCAACTGTTCACAGATGACCTCATCGAGAACCTTAGATATTTTATTGAGAGGCTGTAAATTGATTCGAAAGAGCCGGTACGAAGTGACAAAGTGTTCTAGAAAGGAACTATTGATATTTCTTTTCTATGCTCAATCAGACTGAACAATGTTTCTGAAATCCGACTACACAGTTTGGTTTAGCGTATGAGCAATGTATGCTGATTTACAACAGAAAGTAAAACTGGTAGGTGTACAATGAGATGGCTAACAGTGGTATCCTATCCTTAACCCACTGATGGATAATTCGTCTACTGCAGAGTGCCTACATGAAATGTCTACCTCAAAAATTCGAAGGCATGCGGTGGAGGCGGGGGGGTGATTCTCGACAACTTTATTCTTAATGTCACGCTTAGGCTTCAGATTCCTGTAGAGAAACGTTGGCAAAGACAGTCAATAACTTTTACGTTTTATGTTAGAGTTGAACTCAAGTGAATACATATTTTCCAATAGGATGCTATTGAGAAATTTTATGCATTGTTCACAGTATTTTCAAAACAGTTTTTGCCAATCCTTAAAAACATGGAGAATGTACACAGTTTTGTTTGATAATCTGCGGGATATAACTTCAATATAATTATTCCATCTCTTAGTTAGTATCATTTCAAGAAATAGAAAACATCCGATATGATTCACTCTCCAGAGTAAGTCTTATGGATGGATTTAACTAGGTTAAATGTTCCATATTATATTGTTCATTTGATATACGACACTTTTCGAGTAGAGCAATAAATTCTTCTAAAAACGTCATCCGGTAACTAATGCTCTACGCACTATGTTCTATCAACTTTGGAAAAACCTTCGATAGCGTTGACCGAGAAGTGATTTGTCAGCAGCTGCTTCACCACTACGGTTTTAGTGCCACAAACCTTAGTCAACCTCATTCAACAACTATATGAAGACACCACATGCCAAGTGATCCACAATGGAAAGCTCAGTGATGCCTTGGAAGTGAAGACAGGAGCAAGACAAGGTTGTCTACTATCACCGATGATCTTCCTGATTGTGGTCGACTGGATCATGCAGCAAACCGTGAGGAGTGAGAAGATGAGTATACGCTGTCTGGCCGATGAAAAGACCCTGGAAGATTTGGATTTCGCCGATGATGATTTATGTCTAATGTCTTGTCGCAAAAACTCGAAGATCTACAGGTGAAAACTAACAAGCTGGCAGAACAGGCGAGGCAGCAAAGACGGGACTTCCTTCAGGTGAACGTAGAGAAAACAGAGGTGATGAAGATACAACAACAAGCATCAAACACTAATCGCCATCAACGGGACAAATCTGAAGGAAGTTGTTCCTATCACCTACCTAGACAGCATCATTTCAACTACAGGAGGCATAGGCACAGATGAGGACGTCAAAGCCAGGATCGGAAAGACAGCAAGACAGGCCTTCATTAACCTGAAATCAGTGTGGAGACCTACCCCACTCCAATCAGAATAAAGCGTGAACAAGATCCGGATTTTCAACACTAATTCAGTCAAATCAGTGCTTCTCTGTTATGGTTCAGAGACTTGGTGCGTTACGAAAAGCATTTCCAACAAACTACAGGCATACATCAACAGCTGCCGTCTACGCTCGATATTGAAGACCAGAAAGAACAAGCAACAAGGAACTCCGGCTGGCTGGCAACGAAGCAACCAAGAACCCATCGCCCAACAAATATGCAGAAGAAAGTGGAGATGGATTGGGCATACACTGAGAAGACCGTTACGAGACATCATGCATAAGGCTAGGTCGTCGAGTGGAATCCAAAGGGGAAACGACGAGTTGGGCGTCCCAGCTGAGGGTGACATGGAGGAGATCGTGAGATGAAGAAATGAAAGCTTCTGGGCAGTAGTGGGGCCAGTTTGAAAAGACTGCAGAGAAGAGAGTGAAATGTGGACGTGCTACTGAAGCCCTATGTTCCACTGGGAACCCAAGGGACAAATAATAATAAAATAGCTTATGTTTCCCTTAAAATGTTACTTCATCCACAGCCTTGACTGTTTATTCTGTTCAATCGTATCTTGTTCACCATTTACTATCCCTGGATATTACAATTTTCCTCAGTTCATGATAGTGTTGCAATTTCTTTCGTTTTGCCCTGATGTTCTATATTAACTGGGACATTTATTTATCTTGAGAACTTACGCGCATCTTTCAAATTCCCTTCTCATTGCTTGGGTACAGCCTTGCTGTTTTTATTGTTCAGGTTAATTAATTTGTTGAAGATAACATTTTCAAGATAAAAAAGAATTAACTTGAAGTGGACCAAGAGATGAGCTTATTATCATGCCATTTTCCTGGATGTATAAACTTTTTTCCACCTAGAACTAGGTATTAAAGTTACCTCTGAGAAGTTTTTATCTACAGTAATTGATAAAGAGTACTGTACACAATTTTCTACCTTATATAATCGCATACAAAGCAAATAGTCTCGTTCATGTTGGTTGGATGGAGGCAATCGGCAGAAAGCCCTTTATCCAACCAAAGTGCGTCATGATGCTGATCTGCCTAGTCTGGTGGCCACATTTAAATATGATTGATAGAATTCGATCAGCACTTAGGACTAGACAACATGAAGTTGGTTACCCTCTAATGACTAATCAGTAAGACTCAGTCATGAAGATCTTTGAAAAGAAGCGCATTCATAGGAAGCCTTTTTTCAACATGTTGACATTTTCCACTAATTAGATGAAATTAAAGGTGTCTTCCAAGTTACTATGTGTTTCCTTATCGCTTATATTTGCCAATCAAATGATGTGGAGAACTGGTGTTGTTTATTTTTGGTTGAAGAGGGATATCTGTTTTATCCACCTTAAGTAATCAATCATACGAATCACTACTTGTTGGTATACTAGTAATTCTTCATTGTTGTTACACTGAATCGAATTCCTCGAGGTTGAATAATTCGACCCAGTATAACAAGTATATCAACAAATAGTTATGATTAATACCCGTTGTACATGAGGTGGCTGTCGTGCCTCAGTGACCTAGTGGGCAACGACTTGGCGTTTGAGGTGATGGGTACGAGGTTCCAGTCTCAGTGGGAACGTCACTCACTGGTGTGCGGGTATATCCAGCTGACAAGCCTCCCGGATTTCTCTGCCAGCCACAACCAAGTAAATCATAAGAATAGTTGTAGTGTATATCCTCTAAGCTGTTAAAACAAGTTCACAGTAGTAAGTGGTTTGCTTTTCATTTTCTTTTTAAAAGACTTTCTGTTTTATTAGTCGCGTCCTAATGGTAAAGTTGTTGCTCATTGATTGGGGGGATCGGGTCACGGGTTCGAACCCAGCCCACCTACTAAGAGTTGAGCATCCAGGTAGTAGCATTAGCTCCCACACACAAACTAAATGTGGCTCATTGCCTACCACAAGAATATGCCCAAAGTAGCCTAGTGGTTTTCATTTTTTTCTCGGTTGGGCGGCCTTCAAAACATCTTATCTCATTGGATAACAGGTTGTTGCGCAACGATTTCCCAGGAAACAATAAAAACATCCGGGTGGTTTCAGTTCATTTGCCTGCAAATAAATACAATTTTATCATTTGACTCTCTAAGATAGCCGTAGTTTGGTAGACTACTATTTATACTGGGTGATGATTGAAGGTGAAATGAAAATTTGGACCGCAGCCGGATTCGAACTAGTATTATCACCCAGTATACATATAATTTTATAGCTTTTTACCGGGAAAAATCTTCATTAGTATACCTTTTTTTCTATAGAAAAAACATGTGGATTTCCCGACTGATAAGTATAGAAATTAGGGAAAGACGGATTAAAAACGATAGAAATTACCAAGTGAGATTATAAATGCCAAGGTGACTATAACTTAGATAAAAGAATGTAATGTAATCCAGTGAACACGTGCAGTTTGGCACACTATGCAATGTGCTTCAACCATATGCATGATGGGTTATCAATTAATCAATATCAACATAGGACCGGAGCAGGCATTACTGCGTAACGGTTTAGGTTACCACACTTCATATCAGCACAACAAGTAACAAATTAGTAAGATGAATGGTAAAGAAGGAAAGGAAAATCGGTTAGAAGCAGTACAAAGTTGTACATGAGAGGAAGGAGGAATGAGGAAATGCTGAACTCAGTATAGCGGTTAAGATGAGGATAAGGTGTGGGTACATCTGCACCACTGACATCGATTCTGAAACATGTCACCTAGAGTCTCCAACCATCGGTTTCTGTTCTCACATGAACCCCAACCGGTCGATCTTCATCTCCCAACATAGCCGAAACCAACAGTCAACGACTTCATACAGTAACGCTGTGTTTTAGTTTGGCCGACCCCCGCCTTTTTTCAACTTGACATTTCCAGGCTAATATTGCGTGACGACGCAGACGGTGAAAAGCCATAAGTAACACATGTCCCAGTCATCTGAGTCGATGTAAGTTCAAGACCTTATAGACTGACTTTCCTCTTCCCCTAAAACTCTGCATCTGATTTCTACATTACTAACGCGGTGACACCATGACACACGGTCTATGCTACGAAGAGAATGGTGGTCAAACACTTGAAACTTTCTTATATCCTCTACCTTCAATGTCCATGTTTCACGACCATACAGTAGAACAGAACAAACTACAGTTCAGTATACTGGACCCTTAGTAGAAAATAAGGATATCATGGCGGTACTATAAATGGAGTGAGTTAACGAAAGCCAAGCGAACCCTCTGCATCTGTGTATAAATTTTGTCAACCACTGCCCCACCAGGGTTGATCCGACTTCCAGGTAAGTGGAGTGCGCAACCACTTCACTTTCTATTGTTAACCAGGGCACCACTGAAGACCAGTACTGGAGCAACTTTTGCATTTGGGTGGCGAGAAACCCATCCTAAACATGGTGAGTTATAATAATGTCTGACTGATCTATTGGTCACCTTGTAAAAATACAGACAGCCCGAAAGGACCCTTGTTCCTCAAAAAATTCATGCGGTAGAATAATAATGCCAATAAACCTTGAATCAAGGTACCAGAAGCAAGGTGTCATGAAGGCGGGGGGTCTTGAAATACGTAAACGCTATCCAGATATATAAATTTATCTAAATAAAACGAAGTCACTAACCTTGAAATATTCCTCTTTAGCTTGATTAATCTCTTCCAAAAATCTTGCCATACCTTCACCAGTTATCGATGAAATACCACAACAACGTAAGTCACTGTAGAATTCATCCAACACTAGTGACATTGAATGGACTAAACTATTCATATATGGTGACGTGCCAGGACAAGTGGATGAACTATCCCCTCCAACTCAGACGGTCCATCACCTGATTGACGATCACCAGCTAAGGCGTCTTGAAATTTTTCAAAATCTTTCATCCATTGAATAGCGAAATCACAATCTATGATATCTGTCTACAAACAAAAAGAATGTAGAACAAAATATCCGAAAAGATATTCCTGTATGTATATGAAAATGTGTTCTGACAAACATGTTTTAAAACGGAAACAGCATTATTAAAGCAATACGTGTTTTTAAAATCTATGCAGCCCACAACTAAAAGTATAAACCAATGCCAGACTATAACAAGCAAAATGACACCTGTCCATAAACAGTCTAGATGAAATGAACAGTTCTGTCACTGAAACGATTTCATTAAGTTAAGAAAGAGACAGGGTGACTTTAAGAAGTTTGTGCTAAAAGAGCTTAAGGTATTACAAAACCCAAATCACCTACATAAATGGAATTACTTCTTTAAATGTAGTGTTTAAACACTGTTATATGAAGTTGATTTTCAATACGTCCTACTGTTTGAATAGAGATGCAATTGTCTACACTTCCAAAGCTTATGAGTTATCGAGTGGGTTGAACACAAGAAAAGAACATTTGCCACCCGATTATACTAGCAGACCTCTTTTCGCGTTTACATTTAACGCGTTTATACAGTTGGATAATAAATCTATAAGATACAATAACAAATTACTAATATACAACATAACCATTTAGGTTATAAAAGAAGGGAAAAAGTTAGCAGTTAATTGGCTATTGCCTTCCAGTGAAATGTCATGGAACAATAATCAGCAAGTTTTCAGAAAGCTTGACAAAATGACTGCTAACAAACACCATAAAGTCACCAATGAGTTAACTGTCCCTTAAAATAAATAAAACAATGTTATTGGTATATGGGCTCCAGCACGGACATTTCTATATTGCCTGTAGTCTCAGTTTGATAGCAGTGATGGATAGTGGCTGGTTGCGGAATCCAGGACGCGCTTTCTGTCCTATTTGGGACTCGTCAGGTGGATGTACCTGCCTCCTAGTGAGTATTGTCCCCATTAAGATCCAAAACCAGGACCAATCGCTTCAAATGCCAGTGTTATCCTCCAGGGTGCCGAGTCACTATAGCCACTCAATATTGTCTTTTGTTACAGTTTTATAGCAATGATGGATAATGGCTAGCAGTGGAATCTAGAATGCGTGTCTCATCCTATTTGAGACTCGTGGGCTTATTGAGAACAACCACTCACTGGGAGGCAGGTACGTCCAGATGACGAGTCCCAAATAGGACGAGACGCTACTAGTCACTATCGATTACTATCATAAACCCAATTTAGTAAAAAACTTGTGACGGAATAGATGTTAACTAGACATGCGTGGCACACATCCCACCCATCTGAATCTATGAAGGTCCATAACCTCATTAATTGACAGATCTTTTTTGTATTGATTAGTCATGGGAGTGCAACCAATTTCATATTGTCCAGTCCTAAGTGCAGACTGAATCCTATCAATCATATTTGTTATGCGACCACCAAGCTAGGAGGTTCAGTATCGCAGTAGTAAAGTTGTAGACTACAACACTGGGTGACACGCGTTCGAACTTCAGGTGGGACATCAGTTCCGTCGAGGTTGAAGATACACCTAGCTGACGAGTGCCAACAAGCACGCAACCTAGGTCCAGGGCTTCCTACCGATTGCTTCCAAACAACTAAGATCTTTTTTGTAACGCAAGTTTCCTACACCTTATATCTACTTATGTCTGTCTGCCGTACTAATGGCAATAAAACTAGGGTTTACAATGGGCTTCAAAAAATGGGAACAAAGCATGATGCTGATATTTCAGTTTCCCTCCTTTTTATCTGCCTCTCTACTTCGTGGATTTCTGTTTTATTGTTCTATCCCTAAAAAGGATTCAGAAATCTGGGACATCATATAGCTGTGTTAGGTTTTTCCATGATTAATCCGCTAGCCATTTTTGTGATTAATTAATAATGTTTTGATATCCTTGGTTGTCAAAAAAGTTTCATTCGGTAAATGAGAAGGAAAAAGCCTTTATCATAAATAAGTTAGAGTAAAGAACGAACAAAACATGAAGAAAACTATATATGCATAACTTACCTTATTGAGAACTAATATAAACGGAAGGCGCATCTTATACAGCACACTGCAAGCATAAAGCATATTGGACATGAATGTGATAGGATTATGACTTCGTGGCGTATCCATTACATAGACAATAATAGTAGGAAAAGAATTGCCCTAAATATTAGATTTTTATAGAACTAAGCTTACTAATAATTCTGTAATAATGGTTCCTGAAGCCGACCATGTGAATACTTCAATTTGTCCAGGTGTATCAATTACAGCATACGTAACTTTGCTTGAATTACTGTTGATTAAATCGACAACTTTATGAAATTGTGAAGCGAAAAAATTCAATGATGTCATGATAGCTCCATTCGGCCCATAACCATATTGTTTCATAACCTCTTTAAATTTGACTGTGTCACGAATATCTTTTTATTTGAGGGGAAAAAAAATTTCATCACCAATAGAAGTAAGCCTACCAATATTGGAATTGTAAGGAATATGATGCACTGCTGGGTCTAAATTAATGATGTACGGAGAATTTGAAGTAGTTGTTAAATATTCAGAAAGCCTGTTTACAAATGTTGTTTTGCCTGAGCCCGCCATACCAAGGATAATCAGACATGTAGGTTTATTCTTTAAATCTTGTTCCAGACCACTCATAGTAATTGAATAAGCAGCTAAAATAAAAGAATATTTAGAATTGAGAATAAATGAACGATAAAATCCCCTGGAAAGTATTTGAGCCTAAGTGTTTGAAAGCAATCAACAGGAACTCTTGCATCTACTGTCTATATACCAGTTAGCTACGTAGATCCAAGCTTCACTGAAGATTCTATAATGTAATTAGATACTACTGCGGAGATCTACGAGCTATGACTCACTTCTGCAGGATCGAAAGCTAATATTTTATAATATACAACCTGACAACAGTTTACAAAATACTGTTTATATTGATATTTTGGTCACAACAACAACAATGACAATACATTATAAACACCTAGATACAATCATCAAAACTAGTGCATTATAACATAAAATTTTTAACGTCACATGACTCCCAGAGGCTGTGGTGTGTAAAAGAGTGGGTAGAGCTTACTCCTACTCCATAAGCATTGCCATACAGTCATGACTTTACAAACTGTCATCGAACTAACATCCACAATCAAAGTGCTCCAAAATAAAACTCGTCTGAACCACCTCAAAGAGTGAAGGCTTACAACCTCATCGATAAACATGTTTTTCTCATCTAGAATGCAACGACTAAGATAAATACTAGTTACTCTGAAGTCCCACCACATGTTAGCAATGCTATGTAGACGTTTATGACCAAATACCTATACACTTTTCGCTTCTTCCACTTTCAACAGTCATACTACAATCGTTGAATTCCTTAAACAATTCTAGAGGTACACTGTCAGTTTCAGCTGCTTTTCCATATCTCAGATTTGAAACAAACTTTTCCAACTTTAGTGGTACGCTAACATCCATAGTACATTCAGGTTTGGGCTGGATGGTAGACAAACCTAGAGGATGGCTGGCTATGGGCCAGCTGATTTGCTCCTGAAAGTGAACTATCTAACACTCAGTCCTATGTCCCAGAGAATTATTATGTGCTCGTTTCTTTTGGAAGTAGCGTCAGTAACCAACAAATTTTCAGGCTATTTTCTTATAGACTTGAATAACTGTTGAGCATTAACTAGTGATGGTGCATTTTACACATCTTGCCTTTCGCTCCCAGCCCCACAACTTTTAGCTGTCATTAGGAAGAGTCTTAGACATTCACTTTTAGGTCACCTTCATTTCTCATTATGATCGGAACTAGTATGGGTGAATTCCCTCACAACCATCAGTTCGAGTTAAGTGGAAGATATCCATACGCTTTGATGATCTTTGTCTGCAGATTATTAAGTCATTCAGCCATTATTTCTTCAACTCCTATGCAAAGCAACATTTTCCATTTTTGGAAGTTAGAGTGGATCAAGACCAAGTTACCACAGGGCTCGTACCGCTTAATCAGCTTGAAAATCTGAAGGTCCTACAGAACTCCTTTCCAACTTGATTAACTTCCCTACCTGAGTCATCCACTACCATGATTTTATCTGAATGTTTTACCTTTCACGACGATGCTGACAGACTTAGGCAGGACCTATACTCAACATTTTCGAAACTATGCTTAGTGTATGCGTAGAAAGAGGCCACAAATAGGGGGTCGAAATTTTCTACGGACCTTCCTTCTTCTGACATATCCATTCACTCAGGACCCAGACGACGATCATCAAGAATCTAGCTGAGTAGTGAGATTTCTGCCTTAAAATTTCATGCTAACCCCAAACCCAAAGTTAATGGAACTAACTCGGACATCAAAACACTTGTATGGGGGATTTTACTGATTTATTACATTAGCTAGGTGAAATCAAGTAAAAGGTGCGCTTGGATCCATAGCAGTCAATTTTAAACCTGTTGGCTAGTCATACTAATTCGTAATTCTAACCAGATCACCTAGAAATCAGTAATTAAATAACTGTGTAATAATATCGTCAAGCAAATAGCAAAGAAAAGTGAATTAATTGAATCTTCTGGCGTACAGTTTACCTGATGGAATATCAACTAGCAACGCAGAATACATCACGAATGAAATCATTTGAATGGACAGGAAGTTACGGGCCCTGCAGTTATACATATCTTTTCAGATACCTTAAGAAGAAATACCCTGACACAGTGCGAGTAGCCGGAAAGCGTCAACCGTCTGCACGCTTCCTGTAGTAAACAAGACGCAACCAAACAACTTATCCTCCTAAACTCTGTCGCCTCCTTTGCTCTCACCTAATATCAGGCCTCTTACTCTCTAACTATGGCAAACAATCAGTCATAGAAACCTCATTTCTAGTCTCCTAAGACACTGCCCACCATCGACTTCATGTAACACCTTTCAACGTCCAAACTCCATGCCAAATCAGAAAGAAAGCTTCTCTCATCACAACTCTGCAGTCTCCAGTCATGGATGGATGCTATGTCTCTCAGACACCTATACAGGACCCATGTGTGCTGATTAAATTCACCTCACCTGGCCATAGTAGTCAATCTCCAAAATTCACCTTACGAGTATCCACAGACTCAATGACTAGCTCTAGCTCTAGTGGACTCGCTGGTGTAGAAATAACATTCAGTTGTGGAGCAGAAAGTGCGCTTCTCAACTGGATACCAGTCAACAGCCGTCTATGGGCTGTTCGACTGAATGAATGTGTAAATACTAGGAAGGATCATGAGACTAGGCAATTCCAATTTACAATCTCCACCTACACATCACCAACTGCACTTCGGATGATGCGAAGGATAAATTCTATGAAAAGCTGTTAACTTTGCTACAGAAAGCAAACCTTTCAAATGTGATCATAATGGCAAGTGACTTCAACACCCAAGCAGGGAAGCTTGACCAATCAGAAACGTATATTGGTGATAACGCGCTGGCGTTTGAAGCTATCGCTCCCGAGTCCGAGTCCCGGTGGGAACAACATCACTCACTGGGAAGCGGGCACATCCAGCTGACGAGTCCCAAATACGACGAAATGCACATCCTGGATTCCACTGCTAGCCACAGCCCATCATTACTAAAGTATATTGGTGAGATTTACAGATTTCCACGTCATCGAACGTATAACGATGATCGTGTGTTGCAGTTTCGCTCCAACAATCACTTCTTTCTGACCAGCACTAACTTTAAGCATAAGGAGAGACACTGTTTCACATGGCGTCCACCGACTTCAAACTAACGATGGACACAGGTAGATCACATTGCTATAAGCCACGGTTGGAGACGATCAGTGGAGAATTGCCCCACTTTCTGGAGTAGCAGTTTCAACTCCCATCACCAGCTAGTACGTATCTGTGCATGTCTGCGTATTACAGGCCACAAAAGATAGGAGGCAGTAAAGCCTGTCTATGGTCAGTTGAAAGATAAGAAAGAGATAGCTAAGCATTTATCTGGATCTGACAGCAATGCTCATCCTGCAGAAACCTGGTGTGATATTGAGTATGCTGTAGAAACAGCGGTAAAGACGACTGGTAACCTACACTGGAAGATTAACAAACGTCATTGGATTTCCCCGACGTCATCCGAACCAAATGATGCGAGAATACTGATTCCAGTTGGTTCTGACCACGATGAAGAGTGGAAGCAACATAAACGTGAATTGATCAAGTCTGGGCGTCGACCACGAGCAGTGGTGGATGACGTAAGCGAGACAGGTGGAGAATACATCAGCGTTGACTAGCACTCGGGAACTACTTAGGTTTATTAAAGATACCGGTGAAAAGATGATAGCTAGTAAAATCACCATAGAATAAGGTAGATAACCTCCCAGGATAAGCGGCTACAACGTTTGGCAGAAACATCTAAATTACAGTTCAACTGGCTGTCAGTGACACTTCACCTCCCTAGCATCAAGCCTGAACGTGGATGGGACGTGGATATCGGTCCTCCAACTCTCCTTGATGTTCAGAAAGCTGTATCCAACTTTAAAGGATGCAAAGCATCAGGATTTGACAGTTGGCAACTCGAAGTTTTCAAGTATGGATGTAAGAAATAGCTGATTAAGGCGATGGAAGTACTATGTAGTGTACCGGAATCAGAGATAGTGCCATTAGACGAATTTACTTATCTGATCATCCGAGTCTGTAGGAAGGGAAAAAAGTCTTCCTGTGACAACCATAGGAGAACTAGTTCGACTAATATTGTGTCCAAGATACTAGGATTCATACTTTTCCGACGCCTAACTGAAGCTCTACAGCAACAAAATAGAGAAAACCAGACAAGTTTCAGAGAGACTTGAAAGAAGGTAAATCGATCATGTTTTCAACTTCCGACAGGTTCTGGAACACAGCCATATTTACCGGTGATCGAAACTTGCCATATTTCTTGAAGTGAATGCAACATTGGACTCTGTTAACCGTGAGGAGTTGGGGCAGTGTCCGTCCGTGCACAAAGTATCGTATACGATGCTCATCAAAGCTATCTACACGAACTAACACTGCCGTGATAGGGTTAATGCAGAGTTTCATCAGAGTTGATGACAACTAGTGCTGCCCTTCAGGTATGTCCAACATGAATTCGGAGTTCACTGTAGGCCTTTTCCTTACACTCTACCTTCCACATTTTGATAGGCAGGTCATTTATGGCCACCGAGAAAACATGTGGTCCAAGAAAAGCTCCCCAAGATGCTTCTGTCATTGAGCCCAATCAGATAGACTAGGTTCTATTTCACTTCAGTGAAGGACTCCTTACTCTTTATATACGATCTACACCAAGCGTTGTGGTTCGGTGATGCCCGCTTTCAAAAATTTACCCAGAATGGTGGTGTATGGGACGCTTTCAGAAGCCCTAACTAAATAAGGGAAGACAACATGGATTGCTTGCTTGTCTTCCCAGTTCGTTATCGCAAGCGGTCACTACGCTTGTAGCACATTACCACCCGATTCTGAAGTCGTGTTGAGCTCCACAAGTGATGCTATTCCTGGTTCAAGAAGTCCAAAACAACGTCTCTGAACAAAATTTTCATTACTTTGAAAAGCATGGGCAACAACACTATTGGTCGAAGCCGCCTGTCTTTTGTTGTGACAAACTAGTAGAGTATTTCAGGTTGCAAACTAACCTCCCAGTCAAATTACTGTAGCAACTGAAACCCGATGTAGTGAACCCTAACACTGCATTGGTTATAGATTCTCTTGCACCCGAGGAAATAGGACTTTCTAGGATCCTCCCAGTTAAACTAGGCCCTCTTCCCTACCTGTATTAGGTGTTCTGTCGCATGCGTCACCCACAAGTGTTTCGTCAGCTGACATATGGTTTTTTATGTTACACTCATTTCGATAAAAGTACAGCTCTTATCTTTCATATACAACTAGTGTTTATTTAACGTAAGTGTTACATTGGCCCTCGAACTGGGGTTAGAAGATAGATGCACTGAAGTGATCACCCCGATGTTCCCTGCATGCATCTATTCAGACGGGAGTCACAAGATTCATGTTCTTTTAAGCAGCCAACAGCTTTCTAACCAGCCCAATCTACAAGTTGGAAATACAAATCTACGGAAAACACCTCAGCTAAGCTATAACGTCAGGAAAGCAGGATAGTCTTTCCTGCTCACCACAGGAGCGAAACCTATCAGTTCCCTATACTTGCAATGTTGATGTTTGAACTGAACGAGTTTAAGCCTAAGAATTCTGGAAGCTATGTATTTTAACAGGTGTCTAGATCACTAAGTCTCAATACGCACCAATTTATGGCAAATTAACTGACGTGAAGTCGAGAAACTTACCGAATGAGAAGATTAGCCTGTGTAACACCACTAGGAAGTCAGGGATGGTCACAGTGGCTGGCCGTTGAAGGTCAGATGCCGAGTTTCAAATGATCGAGCAAGGTCATCATTTTTCACTATTCAGAAATAAGGATGACAGCTCAATCGACCTGTGTGAGCCTTTGCGATATTCACTGCTGTAGAGACTCAGTCGCACTTTGAAATTGGCAGTGGAAGGTGCGAAGCAACATCATCCTTTCTGGCGCGCTGTCTGAAAAGAGGAGTGACTTTTCACATTCAGCTAGATTCTCGTCATTTTTTGTGTTTACACATCAAAGGCCTTTGTTTTTTTGCTGCAATCCGAATGTTATTTGATTAAGGTGAGGCGGGAACTTTCGCTGGGTGAATTTCTGTAGTTTCTGCTTCATGGTAAGCCAAAAGTGTCGTAAAAATGCTTGTGGTAGGGCTGGGTGCCACTTCACAGCGGCCACTGGTATGCAGTGTAGCGAATGTAAGAGTTGGTTCCACGATAACTGATCAAGCCTCACACCCTTAGCATATAAGAATTACAGCAACGCAGGAAGCGTCTGGCTTTGTACGTTGTGCTGCTCGGATATTCGCACTCTAGTAGAAGAGGTAAAACGACTTCTAAATACGATAAATGAGAAACTGTCGTCAAAAGTCAAAGCCGATAACTGTGGCAGCGATAACGACACAGCATCCATTGATACACAGATTGCTGTGCGAAACTTTAAGTACGTCCCACGACAAGCTGTAGGTCGGGCACGTAGACTTCCTACTAGGTCTGCTGACAGAAAATTGGAAAACACCAAACCAGGCAGGGTGAAGCGGGCATCTTCTGGATCTCGCATTCTCAGACCTGATAGGCCCAGCCTGAAAGCTGCTGACCTTAAGACTAGGCCCACTTAAGACGAAAGAAACAGGAGTGAAGCGTTCTCAGTTCCAACGACGGAACCATGCAGGCCGCAGGTCATACCCAGTTCAGCGACTCAACCACTGGCCAAAATCACACGGAGTGTGATGCAAGTCCACTGTGATGCTCTCAGCGCCAGGGTCACTCGACTAGGCTTTAGTAAACCTTGCATATCCGACTCTGAAAAATGGCGAGTAACCAAGCCTAAACGGCATGCTAAGAAGCCAACGACGGTAACCGTGCCAGCTATCATCACTCCACGTAGCAAAGACAAAACTGAGATCCTTGACAGGTCCGTAGCTTTACACAGGGTGGAAGAAAGTAGAGACCCAGAACCACGTAAACATTTCGAACATGACCTTGGCAAGGTACAAAGGTTGATAAACCGGCTTCTACCAAAAAACATGCCAGTAGTCACCCTACTCAAAATATACAAAATAGGAAAACAGGAACCAGTCATCACTGAAAATATGTTTCCTGTACCTTAAGTCCTACTTGAGCCAGCAGATGGTAAGTATCAGATTCTGAGAAATGCTCACAGGCTTCAAGGATCTAGAATGTTCGTGAGAAAGGATCTGGCTCTTGCTGATCGGATCAAAAAGCGAGAAGCAGAACTGAAGTCTAGATTAGCAGCTGGAGAGTAGGATCTGAGAATAGTGGGTTTTATCGCGATGAGGTTTTGGCGGAAAATGATGGCGAAGCCTCTATGGATAGGGCGGAAACTCATTTAAGTAGTTTTGTTGTCTTGTGCGCAAATGCACGTTGTCTTTTATACAAGTGGACTGAGCTTAGTAATGCGATAAGCAACGAAAGCCCTGACATCAATGCTATCTTAGAAACTTGTTTCTCTTCTTGGATCAGTGACTGCATAATACACTTACAAGGATTCGTCCCTTTTAGAAGTGACGGGTTAGCCCGCAAAGGTGGTGGTGTCATGCTTTAAGTCAAGAATAACTCAGCTGTAAAAGCCATAGAGGCAGTGGGACATGTGAAATGCTGCACTGCTGGCTAAAATGCAAGGGGCAAGATGTTAATATAAACGTAATATATCGAAGCCCTGAATGTGGGGCGGCAGGCCTCCTCCTGAGTGATCTGGCCCTTCGGACAGATAAATGCCTGTGTCTAGTTGTAGGAGACTTCAACGCACCACCAGCTGACTGGGATAGACCAACAACAAAAGCGCCACATAACTCGTTTGACAGCTAGTCAGTGGAAACATTAATTTTTCTAGCCCTCACACAGCACATCAGGACACCAAGTGGATATGATTATCAGCATGTTCCATAAGTTCTGGACTTGGCACTCTCATATACAGGTGATGTATGCTCCATACGGAACCTAGCACCCCTTGGCAAAAGTGATCACGCTGTGGTCATCTTCAGGTTCACAGCAGACGTCTTGTACCAGGCCGATGCCCCAGCTAGACCCAACATATGGAAGCGACTAACCTGGCAGCCTCTTCGGAGGACTAGGCAGTCATAGCAGGAGCCCCAGTCGGAGATGCGTGGTGCTCCTTCAAATAGTTATGTGCACGAATGACCCAACCGTTCATTTCATGGACTGTCCCTAGGGGACGGAAACATAGTCCTCCGTGGATGAGCCACGAAATCCGAATCTTGCTTCTACTCAAGAAAAAGTTTTGGAGTCTTTCCACCCGCTTCAGTACACCCGAAGTGGTGAAGGGTTACAGAGAAACCCCAAATAAATGTGCCGCTGCTATCCGCCGGTCCCAAATAGGCTTTGAAACACGTCTTATTCAGGCTATACTAAAACATCCGAAGGGGTTGCTTTCATGCATGAACTATAGAAACATACATGTCGTGGCATACCCGCCCTAATCAATGAGACGGAAAACGACTGTTTGATTGGGGACGATAGGGGAAAAGTGGAAACCACTGCTGGATATTTTGCTGAGGTCTTCATGCAGGAATCTTCTATGGATACTTGTTTAACAGTAGAAGCATTGATATCCAACAGAATAAACTCTGTGGATGTCGGTCGTGATGTACTTCGGACACTAAGTACTCTCGATGTAGAAAAATCAAAGGACCGGTTGAGCTGCGCCCAAAGCTGCTTGGAGAGCCCGCACTCTATGTAGTCGGCCCACTGACTACTATATTCAGACTGTCTCTCAGTGAAGGTACGATGAAAGGATGCCATAGCAGCACCTATCCACGAGACAGGTTCTAGGCAGCTCCCATCAACTTACATACCGATGAGTTCGACTAGCACTGTAGTGAAGGTCCTAGAACGAGTAATCACTGGCAGTTTGCTAGCGTGGATAAGAGAATTTCCAATCTGTGGGAGGCGAAGAACTAGGACCACTTCTCAGCTCTCCACTTGGGAGTCAGTAGAGGGTAGAGTACCACAGGGTACAGCCCTAGGCCCCCTACTGTTTCTCCTATATCTAAATGAGCTGCCAAATATCCCGAAGTCCCATATGGTTCTCTACGCTGATGATGTAAAAATCTCGCGGGAAGTAAGAGAGATTAGGATATACGTGCGCCCCAGGCGGACCTGAACAGCTTGTTTACCTGATCAGAGAAATTGCTGATGCATATCGATGCAGGTAAATATGTGAGCATGCACATGGGGCACACACAGCAACACCCACGATATTGGTTGGACTCCTTTACCGTCGGCACTGACCCACGATGACCCAGAGTCATGGTGAGTTATGACTCGAAAACCACGACTCCCCGCTGATCGGTAGCAGCTCGGGGTTTAGGACTTTCCGGGCATCACGTAGAACGTTTATGAAAATGTGGTGGCGTGTTCATCATCTTGCACATATCCTTAGCTATGTCTAAATTGGAAAACTGTACACAGGCGGCTAATCCTTGTCTGAAGGGTGACGCGGACCTTCCACGAAGAGTTCACTGGGCAGTTATTCGTATCATCCCTACAGTGGCTGGCCTCACCTACGAAGACGCACTTGAGGAGCTGAACCTCTTCACTGTGCCCATCGCAGACAGAGCGGGGATATAACCATGCCAAACAGGATTCTAAGAAATGATTTCGGTTATGAGCTATCTTGCCTTTTCCCTCCCATTAGATCGGAGAGCGCCAGAGGACATAGCGAAAGACAATGAAGGCAACAAAGGAACATAGTGGCAGTAAACCCCAGCATCTCGCGTAGAGTAATCGACGAATGGCGACGAATCCGAGAAGAAGTTGTGTACCATCATCACCTGACGCATTCAAAACAAGATTATACAAAAACAGAAATACACTGCAAAGGGATAAATATGAGCACAAAGAACAATATCAGAAAAAAAAATGTGAAATAAGTCAGAAGAACGGAAAAGTATTGTACCATTTCATGGAGATCAAAAGTTCGAGCAGAAAAAGCTGGCTGCTGTTCAGCTCTCTATTCATGTGCTCGAGGCTCGGTTAGGCTTTACCCTAGTGGATGGCGGGGTCTTTTCTAATTACCTTCTTCTAGCCATGGTAAGCTGACTGCCTGCTCTTGATGGACAATTCTGCTCGGGTTTCCACTAAGGTCACCATAATGACCATCAGATAATATTTACCCATTCCGGCGGCCTTTTTGACTGATCATCTTTTAGGTCATCATCGATTCGCCACGTGTCCTACGGTAGGCCGGGGTAAAAGGACCCTGATCACCCAGCCTACCTGTACATGGTTTTCGTCAAATACACGCAGTTTCCTTCGTGGCTGGTTCTGAACTCCGCAAGAGAGCTTCACAATCCTCTAAAGGTGTAGCGGGGAAGCAGATTTATGAACCTCGATGCCAGGTCGCACTCCAGAGTGAGCCCAACGAGTTTTCTACGCACAAACTGTGGCACTCAGTAGGCCTTGAAAACGCCTTCTGGGTATTTTAAACTCGTATTCTGGGGGTCAGTTGGAACTAAACCCAGTCCTTTCTTTCTGGTTGATGGAGAGGGTTACATGTCACGGAGGAAGTGTGCATTGGTGATTGTGAAGGTGTAGAGTAGTCTCTGCGAACCAGGTGTGTCTGGCATATTTTTGAGGTTGTGGCTGGTTCCTTGCATTTCACCTGCTCTTCGGCTATTCTCAGCCCATATTGCAGCAGGTTCGTGACCCATTCAGCGCTCATGGCCCCACATGTCCGAATCTCACCTGAAGGCGGTAGAACTGGGGGCCTGGAACTCTGCTGAATGTCGTTCACAGATAGTAAGAACTGCACAAGACCGAGAATGGATCCCAGTGACACTCCGTACGACAATGCTCCTCAGGTTGAGCACACGTCGTTGACTTTGTGTGAGATCTCCCATCCCGCAAACACTTTTAGAACCAGTGTGACAACTCATCAGGAACGCAGAACTGTCTGGCTTCCAGCGAATAGGTGTGTGGTTGGAATCTCTTCTCTGGTTTTGGTGGCTACATTTGGGATGCACTTTCACCCATTTTCAGCAAACGGTTGTCTTGCGGTGTCTTGCCCCCTCTCCATCTCCTGCGCAGCAAGGCAAACTACGAGCTGAAGAACTTGTCAACGCAAAGAGTCGCGGCCAAGTGAAGGTGGCCCGTTTTCAATCGACTAGTCCTAGGAAGCCGGAAGGTACATGAGAGTGTGGAGTACCTCGGAAAAGGTCATTTTGGTGGTGCAACACAGATGAGAATAATTCGGTCCAATTGGAGCCTCAGTTGTTTATTGTGAGGCACTGTTGAATTAAGGCATCACCGGGAAAGCATTCGATCACAAAGCATTCACAGTTATAAAGACTCGGCCCAAGATTAAGGCATGAGGAGGTAGGAGTTCGTTCAGGACAAGTTTTGCCGAAATGTTCCGGGCAGACCCCAAGTACGGATTGCTGTAAAGCGAGAACATCCCAGCCAGGAGCGCACGTTAACACGTTTGTTTGTGGAGGGCATTTCTATTGTTTGCAGGTCCCTGTAACGCTTATTATTACGTTTACACGCAACTCCGTGATTCGTGAGTAACCGTGCAAACCAACATGTGTAACATCCTCCCATGTTATCAAGCACTGGAAAAAGAGGTGCATCCCTCGTAAGTCATGGCATTGACCTCAAAAATTTGTCTGAGCTGCGTTTGGGAGTGTTCAGAAGCTGCAGTAACGTCCGACAATCTGTGTTGACGAGTTTGCGATCTTCTTATGTCGGTGGCTCCCTTTCATTTCAACACTTCTGATAAGTAACATTTCCCACGATGACGAAAGATGTTATTCTCTCCCTCCTTTTTTCCGGGAGTCAGGCCAGCAATTTCTTAAATGTCACAGCCTGTAACGCAACTCCTGCTATTTTTGAAGGCTGTTGAAAGGCTAGCAAACAATCATATCAGGGAAAGCCTGGGCAGATGTAGTTTGCCTGATCAGTCGCAACAAGGCATCGGGGGATGAGGTCCTTCTGCCACAGATTCTTAGCAGCATATTAGAGCGTGGTGACTTGCCGGAATCTGTATATCGCTGTATGCGTGGTTGTTCGAAAATTCCAAGGCCTTTCGCATCATCCCACAAGATATCCTCTGATCAAAGATAGCCCCATTTAATATTGGTGGCCCACACTTTATGCATATCCACTGAGTTCTGCCTGGGTCCGATTCCGACGGAAAACCTGGATGCGGATTAAAACTTTTAAGAAGACGCCAGCAGGGCGTGCGTAGTAGTACGCCCTCAGCCCGGGCAAGTGGGAAGCCTTCTTTCACAGCTCTCTCAGGAGCCGTACGAGACCCATACTCGACTTCATCTTGAGGTTCACAACATCACTACACAGCCAGTCTTAAAGATGGATAACCACGTCCCGGAGAGAGTTCGCTCATAGGTGACAGGAAGCGTCGATCGCATGAAACACAAGCTGTTTAAATGTTGACCGTAGAATCAAGGCTTTCTCAACCTTAGTTGATGTATGAGAGGTGGCAACTTCACAACTGTCCATAGGATTCTAGATGGCACTAGTCATTTGAACAAAGGGATGTTACGTGACCTATGCCGTGGATATCCTCCCTTTAGCCCAAATTGCACTGCCAAAACATATGCTCCAACCGTCAGTAGTTTCCGGAATGGTTGAAAAGCTGCTCAGTGGCACAAATAGTGGGTTTATCTAGACAGGAAGGGGATTAGACTAACGGAGTTAAAGGTTATCACGACACTATCTTCAACTACTTCTCATCTCAATGCTGACCTCCCTTATTTTTGTCGATAACACCAATATGATTATGCACTTCGCTCCTCAGTGGCGATATTTTTTTATCTCCCGCACTACATAAGTAAGTTTTGATTAAACGCCAGAGCATTTCGAAACCGGAACGGTATTTTTAGAACGTTTCGCCCTGCATGCCATGGCTTCCTCGGCAGAGTATTTGGGTTTTATCAAGTGTCATTAGGTACACTGTCATACGGTACACATAGCAATCCCTATGTCTGCGTCGTTGGCTAACTGGTTTGTGGTTCAGTTTAGTTGGTTCTAACTAATCATCATAAATTTATGCGGCCCCTGGCATTTCTCATAAAATCAACTTAACAGTCAAAGCACCTGCACGTATGGATGCATGTGTTATGGAAAATGCATGCGCCGTATGTTGTTCGTTGTAAGAAAACATGAATTACATGTTTATTCGTGAACAATAACTGATCGACAATTTTTTATCGGTCAAATTTGAAATGGCGATCTTCTTAGTGTTTTTGCTGAATAAGTCCACCAGATGGGTGACGAATCTGTTTCTTCCCTTATATTTAGAGCATTTGTTGAAGTTAAAATAAGCGGGGCCTGCGAGCTCAATCCTTTTTCTGTGGATGTAAGTCCTTACATATTACCTGGAGGCTGCCGAAGCCAATTCTGTGTCCACTTTTGGTGGTATATATTTCTATGCCTGACCCTTTTTCGAAAATTTCATTTCCGCCTCATTCTTTTTAGGGCGTTTTCCACATTCGCCCTAACTTCTAGCTGTTTACCGCTTTCACGTATGTGGATAGCCCCACAATCTATGCATTTTACCTTGGACATGTAGTTATTTGATGTGATCTTTGGAAGTACATCTTTCATACCACCCAAGATTTTGTTCGAACAATTTTAAGTTTTGAATATAATTTCGGTGCCACACCTGGCACGGACTCTTTACATGTATTCTGGGGTATCTTTTCTACGTGAAATTTTCACTGTTGATGCCATGACTTCTTCATAGTCTTGATTGTCTGCTTGCTTCCTGTCATACGTCGTGGGAGTGTTGTCCAGTAAAGGCCCTGGGTAACCATTTTCTATTGACGCTACTTTGGAAATTTCATTTTCTATATCCCACGGATGCATCATAGTGTTTTGGGCCCTATCTAACTGATTTACGTCCATTGGATGGTCGGAATGGAAACTTAGATGTTTGACAGAATGAGCTATTTCACTGTAAATTTTAATTTTGATTTTCTCTCTTGACGTTCTCTAGTTTAGACGGTGGAGGAATTTAAGAGTTCCTGCCCTGATTCGGTTACACTCATGAATTTTATAAAACTGAACATAGAGTTTGAATGCTGCGAAACCGCTTATGCCCTGCTTTTTTATTGACTGCAAAAGCATCATCCATACGCCTATTCCAAAACTATTTAATGGTGTCCCTCCTTATGTCTTAACGTATGAACTGGCTAAAACTGAGGATTCTACAGAGCCCATTGCGACGCCATTTGTTTGGCAAAATAACTTATTTCTAAATGTGAAGCATGTCGATGCCAAACGTAATCATAAAGACTGCACAGTATTTTCTACTGGTAATGGGTATCCAGTTAGTGATACTTGGTCGTTCTCAAGTATATCTTTTACGGTACTAGTTGCGCTGCCCATGAAAATGCTGATGAAGAGAGGAGCCACGTCAAAACTTACCACAACTTTATCTTCCAGCACCGCGTTATCCATCAGTTTACCTTCGAATTTTTCCGGTTTTTTAATATTTGAGGTATCATCATGTTAAAACTGTTCCAGCAATTTTGATAAGCTGTGTTATACTGAATATGTGCAGTACGCAACTCGCCTGAGCAGAGCTTCCACTCTGCATACTTTGAGCCTTCCGTAAAATCTTGAGTGTGAATTGGTTTCGGAGCAACCGAAAGGCATGTTGCAATTCTCAGCTCTGTCTCTAGTTGTGTGGGCAAACTACTTGTTCCGACCTCGATTTTATATGACTTACCAGAGGTCTTATTTGTCAGCGTTGGATCTTACGGGCATGAATTAAATTCTTTCAACGCTTTTTAGCCACGATTTTCTGTGTTCAAAAAGGTTGTAATCTTCCCTTTCTCAGCTCCAGTTATCCAGACGAATCTGTTAGATTTAAAAGCGTTCAAAGCATAGCGTTCTTACTTGATAAGATTTGACCTGCCACGATTCTGATTTGAGGCGATACTTTTCATTTTTAATTCTGCCACATCAGCTCCTTGCGTTTGAATCAGCGATATATCTGGTTACATAAAGGCAGCCTTCTCTATCTCTTTCAAAGGTTTTTGTATTAGATTGCAATCAAACCCCTTCTTTAACGGCATCACGTCGTTATAATTCAGCGGCTTAGTTGAAGACAGACACAGAATCTGAGGATCTGAATTTGGTGATTTGAAAATGAGTAGATTTCTTATTCACGCCAGATGTCACTACTGAACAAGGCTGATTATCAAGAACAAGTATATTCCGATGATCCTCAGAGATAAAGCTCAAATTATAAATGTTTGGCAGTCAAGGTATGATTCTACATTTCCCGACATAGGTTGACCTCGGAAGCCCTACTTATTTTAACTTCAACAAATGCTCTAAATATAAGGGAAGAAACAGATTCGTCACCCATCTGGTGGACTTATTCAGCAAAAACACTAAGAAGATCGCCATTTCAAATTTGACCGATAAAAAATTGTCGATCAGTTATTGTTCACGAATAAACATGTAATTCATGTTTTCTTACAACGAACAACATACGGCGCATGCATTTTCCATAACACATGCATCCATACGTGCAGGTGCTTTGACTGTTAAGTTGATTTTATGAGAAATGCCAGGGGCCGCATAAATTTATGATGATTAGTTAGAACCAACTAAACTGAACCACAAACCAGTTAGCCAACGACGCAGACATAGGGATTGCTATGTGTACCGTATGACAGTGTACCTAATGACACTTGATAAAACCCAAATACTCTGCCGAGGAAGCCATGGCATGCAGGGCGAAACGTTCTAAAAATACCGTTCCGGTTTCGAAATGCTCTGGCGTTTAATCAAAACTTACTTATGTAGTGCGGGAGATAAAAAATATCGCCACTGAGGAGCGAAGTGCATAATCATATTGGTGTTATCGACAAAAATAAGGGAGGTCAGCATTGAGATGAGAAGTAGTTGAAGATAGTGTCGTGATAACCTTTAACTCCGTTAGTCTAATCCCCTTCCTGTCTAGATAAACCCACTATTTGTGCCACTGAGCAGCTTTTCAACCATTCCGGAAACTACTGACGGTTGGAGCATATGTTTTGGCAGTGCAATTTGGGCTAAAGGGAGGATATCCACGGCATAGGTCACGTAACATCCCTTTGTTCAAATGACTAGTGCCATCTAGAATCCTATGGACAGTTGTGAAGTTGCCACCTCTCATACATCAACTAAGGTTGAGAAAGCCTTGATTCTACGGTCAACATTTAAACAGCTTGTGTTTCATGCGATCGACGCTTCCTGTCACCTATGAGCGAACTCTCTCCGGGACGTGGTTATCCATCTTTAAGACTGGCTGTGTAGTGATGTTGTGAACCTCAAGATGAAGTCGAGTATGGGTCTCGTACGGCTCCTGAGAGAGCTGTGAAAGAAGGCTTCCCACTTGCCCGGGCTGAGGGCGTACTACTACGCACGCCCTGCTGGCGTCTTCTTAAAAGTTTTAATCCGCATCCAGGTTTTCCGTCGGAATCGGACCCAGGCAGAACTCAGTGGATATGCATAAAGTGTGGGCCACCAATATTAAATGGGGCTATCTTTGATCAGAGGATATCTTGTGGGATGATGCGAAAGGCCTTGGAATTTTCGAACAACCACGCATACAGCGATATACAGATTCCGGCAAGTCACCACGCTCTAATATGCTGCTAAGAATCTGTGGCAGAAGGACCTCATCCCCCGATGCCTTGTTGCGACTGATCAGGCAAACTACATCTGCCCAGGCTTTCCCTGATATGATTGTTTGCTAGCCTTTCAACAGCCTTCAAAAATAGCAGGAGTTGCGTTACAGGCTGTGACATTTAAGAAATTGCTGGCCTGACTCCCGGAAAAAAGGAGGGAGAGAATAACATCTTTCGTCATCGTGGGAAATGTTACTTATCAGAAGTGTTGAAATGAAAGGGAGCCACCGACATAAGAAGATCGCAAACTCGTCAACACAGATTGTCGGACGTTACTGCAGCTTCTGAACACTCCCAAACGCAGCTCAGACAAATTTTTGAGGTCAATGCCATGACTTACGAGGGATGCACCTCTTTTTCCAGTGCTTGATAACATGGGAGGATGTTACACATGTTGGTTTGCACGGTTACTCACGAATCACGGAGTTGCGTGTAAACGTAATAATAAGCGTTACAGGGACCTGCAAACAATAGAAATGCCCTCCACAAACAAACGTGTTAACGTGCGCTCCTGGCTGGGATGTTCTCGCTTTACAGCAATCCGTACTTGGGGTCTGCCCGGAACATTTCGGCAAAACTTGTCCTGAACGAACTCCTACCTCCTCATGCCTTAATCTTGGGCCGAGTCTTTATAACTGTGAATGCTTTGTGATCGAATGCTTTCCCGGTGATGCCTTAATTCAACAGTGCCTCACAATAAACAACTGAGGCTCCAATTGGACCGAATTATTCTCATCTGTGTTGCACCACCAAAATGACCTTTTCCGAGGTACTCCACACTCTCATGTACCTTCCGGCTTCCTAGGACTAGTCGATTGAAAACGGGCCACCTTCACTTGGCCGCGACTCTTTGCGTTGACAAGTTCTTCAGCTCGTAGTTTGCCTTGCTGCGCAGGAGATGGAGAGGGGGCAAGACACCGCAAGACAACCGTTTGCTGAAAATGGGTGAAAGTGCATCCCAAATGTAGCCACCAAAACCAGAGAAGAGATTCCAACCACACACCTATTCGCTGGAAGCCAGACAGTTCTGCGTTCCTGATGAGTTGTCACACTGGTTCTAAAAGTGTTTGCGGGATGGGAGATCTCACACAAAGTCAACGACGTGTGCTCAACCTGAGGAGCATTGTCGTACGGAGTGTCACTGGGATCCATTCTCGGTCTTGTGCAGTTCTTACTATCTGTGAACGACATTCAGCAGAGTTCCAGGCCCCCAGTTCTACCGCCTTCAGGTGAGATTCGGACATTTGTGGCCACTATTTCCTAAATGGTCTCGAGCTCACTCGCTTTAATTTTTCCTTCACTTTTAATATAATATTTGGGAGACTCTTTCCGGCCGTGATTTTTTATTTTCATATAATTCTCATTTAACCTCACTGCCTTTTGCGTTACATTTGTTCACTTTGAATTGTCTTCTATGAAATGGAGTCAAATTATATGAGTTTCTCGAGAATTTAGTTTGCGATCACGTCTCACTTTTAGTCGCCAGGTGAGTTTATTTCTCATACCTAGTTTTTTACAAGTTTTTCACTCCCATTATTTCTGTCGAGCAGCCTTGAAACTTTTATTGTAGTTTGTATAGCGTATATGGTTGGATCTGGACTGTTGGCAACTGGGCAAGTTTGTTTTGGAACGTCTCAGAAACTTGAAAATCAATGGGGGAAGACCAGTTGAAGGATTCTTTCAAAAATATCTGGTATCAAATACGAATTATTATATTCAGTAGGCTGGCAAGTTCGGCCAGAATTATGATGAAGTTTTTCTTTTCAGTCTGAAGCCGAAAAGAGAGGAAGAAGGGAAAAGCGCGAGCAGAAACTGAAGAGTGGTATACCACACAAGACGAAATTGGGAAGAGAGAAAATCTTACCTCTCTTCTTGGACACTCGATCTATATGTACATTTTAATTTAAGCAGATAAAAATGACTCTTATGATTTTCCTACGTAAAATTAATACAGTTTTTGGATATACCTTGGTTATTTCTAGACACATTGGCAAAACTTACCCTACATCAAGGTGATACATACTTCAATAATATGCACTTTACTGACTACACAACCTAAGCCAGTGGAATAGTGGTCAACCCCCCGCGCAATAACGTTAGGGCCCATTAGAGAAAAAGTACTCGCGACTGATGATAGCCTAAACTTACATGTTTAAGGGTCTTAGTATATTTATATCAGCCCAGAAAGTATATACAGTGACCAAGCGGGTGATAGACCCATCAACTATAAGGGGATTATTGAGTGAGGAACGAAAGACATAATGAACCTGCAGTACGCACCTCATCAAGAAGTCTACTTCAGATGTGCCAGGACTTATTAAACAAGAGATCACCTCGCACATGGCTCTCACAACACTCAGTTTTAGCTAACAGTTTGTGACTACCTATATTGCAAGTAGATGTTACAACCATTTTCATTTCTGGACCACATGAGTGCACTTGCTTACGGAGTAATTTATAGTAAACTATAAGATTCATTCTAAGTCGCCCCTTTCAGAGTGGTTTTAGTCCTAGCATGTTGCATCTGCAGATGTAGTCAAGGTTGCAGCCAGCTCCTAGTGCTCTTAATGTAAAGTGGCGTTGTACCCCTCCAATTTTTATTTTGTCGTCTATTCGGAAGCTGCTTAAGACAAATGAACAGTTTTCTAGAATTGGAAGGATGCATACTTTGTAGAGTAGGACCCTTAATTCAGTACTATGAAAGTTACGAGTGATGCATCTTAGGAGTCTGCGTCACTTAGTTTCCCTGTACGCTGCCTGATCAGAGAAATTCAAGTCACTGGAATATCTGAACCCTAGGTCTGAGACAGAACTAAGTTTTGGTAACTGTTGTCCAGATACTTTAAATATCAAGTCAAGGCTACTGTTACCAATGCAGATCCATCCGCATTTGTTGATGTTGAACTGTAGAAGGGCATCAGCACACTAAGAAGAAAGCTTTTCTAGTTCACATCGAATACCAGTCATGGTGTCACCCAGCTCATGACTATGACAAGAGTAAATGACTTTCAGGTCGTCAGTATATAGAGAGGCGTCACCTGTGGTAAAGAAGTTGCAAACACTGTTACTGTAGATAATAAACAAAAGAGGCCTGAGAACGCTACCTTGCACAACTCCACTTGTGACGTATCTTGGAGTAGACAGAGCTGAGTTGGTTTTTGTCATATGGGTGCGATCACTGAGAAATGATTTTAGCCAGCTTAGCAAAGGGTTGCTAATACCTAATGAACCTAACTTTTCCAATAGTATATTATGCGAAACCATGTCAGATGCCTCCGATGTTTCGAAGTACAGTACAAGGACTATTTTGCATGCCTCACGACTACTGGTAGTGAGGTTGAACGAGTCGAGATGACGCGTAATGCATGGTCTGTTCTCCACAGAGGAGTTCTGACACTTTGTTGTAAAATCTTCTGCAAGTAAGCATTCAGACATACCGTCTTTTACGACTTTCTCCTTAATTCGCGATAGGGCTAGGGCTATATTGATGGGTCTTTAGTTGCTGACACTACCCCTGTCCCCAATTTGTGGTTTGGAATCACGAAGCTAGTTTTCCATTCAGTAGGATACTTCTCATTTTCCATCGA